CTGGGATACTAAAAGTAAGCATCTCAGTCTCCTCATCCAAGACCACCATCTTGGAGGCGGTTGTTCGGGTGGAGTCACAACTATATCCTCCACCTTTCTTTCCTCTTTAGTCGAAGAGTCCCTTTTTTGCTTCTTGTGACATCTCACGATAGACTCACTTGCGCTAGGGACAGTTAACTTCTTCATAAGTTTCTCTACAATCGTAAATTCCTTAATGGTTAGTAGGTTCAGCCTTGACTTACTAGACAAAATATGACTGAAGTAGCGGATGAGTAGCACACTCTAAGTCTGCTTTAGTGAAGGGAAGGGGATACGTCGCTAAATCGCACCAACTCCAGCCCACAGGTGACTCGTCCTCAGATTTGCCTCCTCCAACACTACTCACCAATCCCTCTGCGCCCTAGGAATAGTTAGAACCTTTCTAGTCTGCAAAGTCCAAGTTGTCCCCACTCTGCCCGGCATGATTGAATTCAAGATCTGCAAAGGAGAAACAAAATAAGACTTTAGTAATCAAAGCATGAATAAAGACTAAGTTCCTCACCAGGTATACGGGATCTTGCCCTGGCCTCTCTCCCCAAAGACCGTTTCACCCCTCATGAAGAAGAAGCGTTCATTCTAGTTTTTATCACTCGATCGGAGGTCAGTCACGAGATGAGTCTGATCGTGCCTAACATTGATCGTGTACCGACCCTTATCCTCGTCATTTTCCTTTAGGAAATATGAGTATAGCAGCTCGTGCAGCCCAAACATCACCTGATTTTGCACACAGGGGTCCTCTAGAGCCATCAACAATCTCCACCCATTTGGCATAATCTGAGTCGGCATAATCATAAAATGGTTCAAAACCTCTTAGACAAGACGGGGAATAGGAAGCCTTAGCTGGACATGGAACCATTTCTCATAGGCACTCACCCAATCTTTTACCTCCCAATCGACCCTTTCGTACAACTTTGGCACCCTAATTTCGACGGACTCTAGAATGTGGTACATTGTCCCGATCCGCCACACATTACTCTCTTTCAACAAGGGCAGTTAGTCCTTATTCAATATCTCGCTACCAGGCTAACTTGGCTGGTCCTCGGAGCCACTACTGGTGGAGGGAAAACTTTCGGAACCAACTTCATTGGAGTCTTCCCCACTCATCCCTTGCCCATCCGAATCACCATCGTTCGGGGCGGCGTCGCTCGGCCCAAGAGTGGCCACATTCTCCTCCTTTGGTATGTCGACCGGAACGTCTCCACCCTCTGACATCACTACCATCGTTTGGGCATTCTCGTATTCATTCCCAACTTCCATCTCCGCCCCACTCAAGCTGCTCAACTCTGACTGCGACATTCAACTCCTTAGCCACTCGACCCGGATGACCGATTGGTTTTTCAATACCAAATCGTATCCATAGTTCCAAATGCTCCACTCGCCCAGAGCGACTAACTGAAAGGCTCTGATATCAAGCTAACTCTTTGCCTCTACATAAACTTTCAGCTCAGTCAAGACGATTGAGTACTTACTACCTCAACCCCTCGTTCAGATCCCTTTCTGCTTAACCTGGGAGACCGAGCGAACTATGTAACCTAGCCCTTACCGAAAAACCAGACTTCACTCAAACCACCTCACTCAACTCGGTCAAGTAGACCGAGACGAGCCTAATGGGAAGCCTACATAAGTCGACTCCACTTCTAACCTCCCTAAACCCAGAAAAACCTAGAAAATCCAAAAAACCCTAAATCTCCAAACGCAGACCACGCCAAATCAATCCTAAACACACAAAATCTCCCAAATGCCAAACCAAAGATTCAAAATCATTCAGTTTGCCTACCCGTTCAAGTCAAATAAACACAACGCCTCCTTTTCAAACTCCCCTAAAAAATCTACCAAACCTTACCCAAATTCCTTTAAAAGTACCGCAAACACAAGGAATGGACGAAAAGAAACAAAGAACAGTACAAGGAAGCAAGTATTTACTGTAAAAATGGCCAAAGTTCCTAAAATCTTTCATTGCTGCGGATAAAAACTGAAACAGAGAGAAAACGCAAAGAGAAAAGAAAGAAATGAAAAATAAAATGAAATGAACAGTCGCCTCCACACTTTTATCGACGAAAGCTGTCAAAGCTTATGTGTGGCAACCTCCGATTGGTCATCGAATAGTGTGATTCCATTTTTCCGCCCAAATTCAAAAGAGATATCTCTATCGTGCACGTGTCGAGAGATGGATTATTCAACTTCACGTTACCTATTCAAGGTTCGCGGCTGCCACGTCATGCATACACCATGGAGAAGCTAACCACTCACTCGGTTTGCCCGACCGAGTGGAGTTAGCACCAGATGTATTGATTATTTAACCTCGGCTCTCCAGCCTTGTGACAAACGCTTCTAAAGCAAAACACAACCTCCATCCTCTTGGTCATCCCGACCGAGTGAGTTTAGGAGTGCACATATACCTACTCATTCAGATTCAACCAATCAGCCTAAAACACCACTACCAGAATGACCCTAACGTATTCCACTCAGTGCAATACACCAAGTACCGACACCATGGGATAGTTCACACATACTGACTCGACTCGATACATTGAGCGAGGACACCTTCATGGGATAGTTTGCACACTCTCTCACTCGGCTCGATACATCGAGTGAGGACACCTTCATGGGATAGTTCGCACATATTCTCACTCAACTCGATACACCGAGTGAGGACACCTTCATGGGATAGTTCGCACATACTCTCACTTGGCTCGATACACCGAGTGAGGACACTTTCATGGGATGTTTTGCATATCTTCCCACCCAGTTTGACATACCAAGTGAGGACACCTCTAGCAGATTCTTTCATGCTTTCCCTCGATCCGATGCACCGGGCAAGGCCATCAAGGTCCACTCCATTCCCTCATTCGGTCAGATACGTCAAGTGAAGACATGTTTGTGTTTCACCTCTACCCACCCACTCGACCTGGTGTATCGAATGCATCACCTACAATAAAAGTTATACTATTTGGTTCAGCGAACAGAGAAACAACATATTCACATGTTCAACCAGTTGGTTACGAAGGACGATTAAGCATACCTTCACACAACATCTACTCTCTAAGCTAAGCGCTCCTTAATTTAGAGAGTGGGGGGTAAACTGTTGGGGCAAAAAAATGTCCTCGACCTAAATAGGCCCAAAGACAAAGACATCTTCAACAAAGCCCAAAGCCATGGCCCAATTCCGATTGGGCTCGCAACAGAGTTTGTATATTAGGTCTGCTTACCACATCTACCCTATTGCTCGCTACTTGAGCCCAATCAGCAAAGGTCCCAAGCCTTATCATCAGCTTGTCTGGCCCTAGGCCCTTTGATCCAAGATCACCTATTGGACTTAGGTTTTATTTAGACCCCAAAGTTGTCTATTTCTTATTTCGGTACTATTCAGATTCTACCGAAGGAATCCATTACTATCCTAACTCGTCTAAGATTTGTATCTTGGACCAACTAGGAGTCCCTCTCCTACTAAGGCAAGGGAATAAAAAACCTTCCTATTCACTGAACCTCTCAACCTCCAAGGACTCACAGTCCTACTAGGACTTGAAGATCCTACAGTCGCTATTTAAGCAGAGACCAACCCTCTCATAAGAGGACACATAGATTACACCTTCTAACCCCATAGTTCTCACTCTTGGGAACCTCATATCACTACCGTAGTTGTGGTCTTCAACTAGACTTCTAGTAACCATCTTTTTCCCTAACCCTCACTAAATCATCCTCATTCAACCTTGCTGACTTGAGCGTTGGAGTGCCTATAGCAAACACCACCCCGATGTTTTCCGTTCGCTTCACGTTTGTTTCCTAGCGTGTGCAGGTGCAGCGGATTGCTGGTGGCATCAACCTCACAGGATCATACCCTATTTCCGTAAAGGTAGATTTTTTGCTTCTACAAAAGTATTATATATCTTATAATAATAATACTATACTTACAAAAATTATCATATAAGATGAAGTGGTAAAAAATAAATAGAAGAGTGAAATAAAAAGTTAAATCCATTATATTTACTTTTTCATTCACTTTTTACCACATCACTCTGTTTGAAGATTTATATAAGATTATAAGATTTATTTATAAGTGTAGTATTACTCATCTTATAATTATGAAAAAAGAAAACCAAAACTTTATTTCCAGAGGGTTTTGGGCTCCGTTTGGTTGGTTTTTGGGAATACTATTATTAGTATTCCAAAAAAAGTTAAACAGTAAAATGCCCAAAAACTCACAATATTATCCAATATTATTCAACTTTTTTTAAACCCCCTAAATTTGTTAATTTAATTAAATACCCATAAATATTTTTTTTCAAAATTACAAAAACACCCCCTAAACCCACATTATACCAGATTCCGGCCACTACTGCTGGAAGTTGGCTGGAATCTGATATAATGGCGCACTACCGACTGAATCTGGCCAGTATTGCGTCGATCTAGCCTTTTCCGTGGATCTGGCCGGAAAAGGCCAGATCTTTGGCCGTAACTAGACGTCAACGACGGCCAACATATGGTCGTCGTTGACCATCAACGACGGTCGTATCTTTGGCTATCGTTGACGAGCAAATGCGGCCAGATCTGTCCGTCAATGGCCAGATCTACTGGCAAGATCCAGCCAGTCATGCCCTGATACGGTGACTTCGGCCACCCTCTGGCGGTGGTGGCCGGCTGTGATTATTCAATGGGTGGGTTGGGATGTTTTTGTTAATTTTTAAAGTTTTATTATAGGGGTGTTTAGTAAATAAACAAACATATGAGGTATTTTTATTAATTTTCAAATCCTATATCGTAATACTCGCCTAACTCAATTTTTTTTAACTTTTTTCAAAAAAAATTTCAAAAAAATACAAAAAAGTGAAGCAAACGGAGCCTTGATATTTGTAATTGACTTTTCCTTTCATAATCATGTAATAAAATAATAGAAATGTTAATTAGACTATTTAGAGTAACGTTGCTGTTGTCGTTTAAACTGCCGACTGATATTACTTAAACGGAACCGTTTGTGCCGAGAACTGGGAAAAAGAAAGAAAGAAGGAAATAGAGGGAAAAATGAAGATAAGCTTAATCCGAACATACACTTTCCCAATTTTTCGTAAACCTTCTCTTCCTTTTCACTCTACTTTCCATAAACCCATTTCCTTTTCATCATCTTCTTCTTCTCTAAAACCCAAAACCGCACTCTTTTTACGCCCACCAACCCACTCAACCCCTCTCTCAGACCTGAAAAAATGGTACACATGGGCCAAAACTCTCGCCTCCTCGGTCGGCTCCTCCTTTCTTCACTCGGACAACGGCCCCGACGCCTCTCTTCTTTGCAGAGAACTCAACTGGCTGTTGGAGGACTCTGTCGAAGACCATTCACTCATTCCCCAACTGGGTATCCAAGAAAGTCCCCAAAATGTTAACTTGAGGGTGGATTTGGATGAGTTGTATTGTTTGTGGAAGGAGAGGATTGAAAAAAGGAAACCTTTACAGTATTTGGTGGGGTGTGAGCATTGGAGGGACTTGGTTTTGTGTGTTGAAGAAGGGGTTTTTATTCCGAGGCCGGAGACCGAGTTGATGGTTGACATGGTGAGTGATTTGATAGAGAAGAATGAGGAGTTGAGAGAAGGGTTGTGGGTTGATTTAGGGACTGGTTCTGGTGCTATTGCCATTGGGATTGGTAGAGTTTTGGGGAAGCAAGGGAAGGTTATTGCCATTGATTTGAATCCTGTGGCTTGTTCTGTGGCAGCTCTCAATGTGCAGAGGTATGGTTTGCAGGTTAGTGGGTTAAAAATCTATTTGAGTCTTCTTAGTTTTTAGCAGAATTATAATATTATGGCTTTCTTTGTTAGATTGTTGTGACATGTTAAATGTGGTTAGTGTATTGATATGCTTGTGTTAAATGTGGAATGAATTGAGAATTTTGTTTGTGTTCATAGATTATTACATATATGCAGTTAAATTGGGCTGAGTATTTTGAGGTTTAAATGGTTCAACAGTTGGATTATTAGGGAAAGAGATGTGATTTTCTTTTATTAGAAAATAAAGCAGTATGCTAGTACTTTGATCTGTCATCATATTCACTTGTACATACCGGCTTATGTTGTTGTCTCTTGTCATTTTTAACCGTTTAACATGGAATTCAGGATGAGATTGAGGTAAGGCGGGGATTTTGGTTTGAAACATTGAAGGATGTCGAAGGCAAGCTTTCTGGTGTTGTGAGTAATCCACCATACATACCAAGTGACCATATCTCTGGGCTTCAAGCTGAAGTTGGTGAACACGAACCAAGACTTGCCTTAGATGGTGGTCCTAATGGCCTGGAAGATCTTCTCCATCTATGCAATGGGGCTGCTTCAATGCTGAAACCTGGTGGATTTTTGGCATTTGAGGTATCGGCTCTTCTTTCTTGGAAGTTGAAGTAAAATTTTCATTTAAATTATATGAATAAAATACTAAATCTATTATAATCTGGTTACTTTTTTGGACACTAGCTTTGGAATTTCTTACTGAAGGCTTAGGTGGATTATGTAGAGTAAATGAGATTGTATGAATTCTAGCGTGAGGGCAGAGAGACAGTCCAGAAAGTAAAAGACAGTTAATACTTGGAATCAGATTATTCCATTAGGAATGGAAAACTGATGGGAAACAGTTATTATTGTTTTCTGATCAGTGATCAGAACTAGTTAATAATCTGGCAAGTCCTATCAGAAAACTGACTTTGACATGAATCAAGCTTTTAAAGTATTAGTTTTCAGAGACAGAAATCTTTTATTTTCCCTTGGAAGGCCAAAGTAGAATGTGCCGCTTCATATGTAGGACGGAGGCATGTCAAGTTTTAATGTAACTCGTACTCTGGCCACAAAGTTGAGACCCTTATGTCGTTCCATAGGCATCAAAGGCTAGATGACTAGAGTTCACCATCTCCGTCTTAAAACTGTAGTGGCATTTGAAATGTCCACTGCTATTCCAGGAGTTATGGTGGAAGCTTAATTATTGATAAAAAAAAGTGTCTTCTATGCAAAATTCTTATCCCCAGGAACAACTTTATTGATGAAATATTATTTGTATTGCACTGTTTTTGAAGTTAAGCTCGATAACATAAACTCAGGTTCTTCGGATTTCATTTTCAATCACATGATGATATCTATGTGGCTTTTCAATGCGTTGCAACTATTATGCTAATTCGAGTAAATCTCCTCTTTAATAATTATATGTCTAGACACCTAAACTCATCTCTTTATGAAAAATTTGTCCCTCACTAATGTACATTAAATCAAGTCAGGACGCTTTGTTTAATCATTTTAATTTATTTGTCCTTCTTTCCCGTTTTCTTTTGCAGACAAATGGTGAGAAGCATTGCAAGTTTCTTGTAGATTACCTGGAAAATGACCCTGCAGGTAGATTTTGCAATGCGAAAATAGTATCTGACTTTGCCGGTATTCAGCGGTTTGTGACTGGATTTCGTCGATGAGCATTATGATTTCTGAATGTCTTCATATACCATCCAATCCATTAAGTTTAAAGAAAAGGAATAGAGTTAGGTCAGTGTTTCTCATTTGTTATAATATGTATAACATGAATAGTTTGTTAATTGTTTTTATCCATACCCGTATATTTTTTGCCTGCTTACCGTTTTACCCTAGAGTTGGATCATTATGATTAAGTTTTGTTAATATAGCGGTTGTTATCCTATAATAATATTATTGGAGCAGTAACCTAGAATGATTTAGAAATAATCTTTGTGAAGCGAGAAACAATAGTTTTTCACCATGTAGGTGGTCACCAGAAGACTCAAAACGTCAATTTTTTAAGAGTAAATCACAAGCCTGACCACTCAAATAATCTTTAGTGAATATATAGTTCTTGAACCATTCATCATTTTTTTATATTTGATAATCGGTGTGTGGGTTAGTTTACATTCATCTCCTTTTACTACAAATAAGGGGATTTTTCTGACCTTGTGGGTTGAGTCTGATTACCTTTACCTGCTTCTGGGCTTCGTGATTTCAATAGAATTGGCCCATTTGCTATCAAACTGCTTTCTTTCAAAAAAGAAAATGGAGATTATCAAGCACAATTTTTTACAAAACGGACTGTGCTTTTTCGATAGTTACCGTTAAGTTTAAAGGAAAATTATAAAAGGACATAAAATATCCACAGCTTATATTTAAAAGGAGATATTTTTATAAAAATTAAAAAACCAACAAAATTAAGAGACTTTAAAAAAATTGAGAAACCAAAAAATAAATAAATAAAATGTAAAAAAAAAAAAATATATAAAAAATTGATCGGTGGTTGGTTGCCGATCAATTTTCAGTAAATAAGTTTTATAGCGTTGCAGTAATTTATACAACTTAAGAGTAGAATTGTATAATAGTGGGCACAAAAATCCTATAATTATTTAATCGTATGAGAAATAATAAAAAAAAAACTTCATCTCTTTTATGGGAATGAGAAAATGTAAATTGTAAAGATAGGGGTTCCGTTTGGTTCAAAATTTTGAGTTTTTGGGAAAAGGTTTTTGAAAAAAGTTAAAAAAAAGTTGAATTGGGCGGGTATTACGATGTAAGAATTATAAATTAATAAAATACCCTCTATGTTTATTTATTTATAAAAACACCCCTATAATAAAACATTAAAAGTTAACAAAAACACCCCCAACCAACCCTCAAATACGGACAGCCGGCCACCACCGCCGAAGGGTGGCCGGAGTCACCGTATCGACGCATGACCAGCTAGATCTTGCCGGTCGTGCGCCGATATGGCATTTTCGGCCAGATCTATGGCCAGATCTGGCCGTTTTTGCTCGTCAACGATGGTCAACAAACGGTCGTCGTTGATGGTCAACGACGACCGTTTGTTGGCCGTCGTTACCGACTTTTACGGCCAAAGATCTGGCCGTTGACGGCCAGATCTTTGGCCTTAGATCTGGCCTTTTCCGGCCAGATCCACCGTGGATCTGGCCGAAAAAGGCTAGATCCGCTCACTACCGGCTAGATTCAGCCGGTAGTGTGCCATCCTAACAGATTCTGGCCATTTTCTGACAGTGATGGCCGGAATCTGGTAAACATGGATTACTGGGGTATTTTTGTAATTTAAAAAAAAATATTTAGGGGTATTTAATTAAATTATCAAATTTAAGGGGTTTAAAAAAAGTTGAATAATATTGGGAGTAGTATTCCCAAAAATCTGAGTTTTTAGGTATTTTACTGTTTAACTTTTTTGGGAATACTAAAAGTAGTATTCCCAAAACTGAAACAAACGAAGCCAGGATCTTTAAGATTTGTTGGCATGTCCCTATCAAAGCTTTACAATTTTTATAAAATTATTCATTTTCAAAATATATTTGTTCCCTTTTTTCCCCCAAAAAAATAGTGAATATAAGTTCTCCTTTATTATTATAATTATTATTTTGTCAATGTGAATAGCCTAAATCATTAGATAATTCAATTAACAATCCGTTGATATTTTCGAAGTACTAGAAAAAATATTTATAAAATTTAGAGTAAACGATGTCCACCCATAATTTTATAAATTCCAAATTCCCACCTTTAAATTAATAGAAAACTATTTACTATAATTGTCAAAGGGTGTTTAAGTCTTTTTATCCAAAAATAATAAACGCTATTCTCTTTTCAACTGGTTAAAGGTCTGGCCGATTTCCGGCGCCCCCTGGCCCCCTCTCACCCCCCACCCCCACTAGACCGCCGCCCACCCCTTGGTGGGCCGTGCCCCGCGCTTCAGCGACGCAGGTATGTGATTTCCAGACGCTATCGCGACAATTAAAGCCGACAATTGATACGCTGCATTTAGTCAAACATTATTGGAATTTATATTGTGGTATGGGAACACTTAAGAAGCAGATTGCTTGATAATTATTGGGGATCTTTTTCAAAAGCCATACTTTAATTGGAAAGAGTTATTGTACACAAAAAATTGAAGCCAATTTAGTTGGCTGTTACAAATTTGCAAAGAAATGGGTACTATAATGAAGAAAACATGGTTTTCTGTGTGTTTTGCTGCTTCTCTAGTTTCTATTTTTCGAAATCCGTTTCTCTTCAAGGGTCTGATACAATCTCACCAGGCCAGAGTCTTTCAGAGAAACCAGACGTTAATCTCTGCAGGTGGAATATTTGAATTGGATACAAATCATATTGGCATATGGTACAAATCATTTCCCCTTGCGCGATTGCCGCTTGTTTGGGTGGTTGTGGTTGCTAATTTGATGGTTTTGGGGCGGAGATGGTGGTGAAGAATGGCAGATAGCGGCGGATCTAGGGTCACAAGGGTGCGATCGTTATATTTCAATCTAGGGTTAAAAGAAAAGAGTGTTATGGAAATAAATTTGAAAGTAATACGGTTATTTTAATTCTACAAATTTTGGGGTTTTAAAAGAAATTATTAGTTTAATTGTCAAGGGTAGTTTGGTAATAGAACTTTCTATACCCAAACATCACTAATTATATTAATTTAAGGGTGGAAACTGGGATTTTTGAACCATGGCGAGAACTAGTAGATGCCACTACTCATATCCTGAAAATCATTAAGTGGGCTTTATCATACTAATACTGACAGTATGATCCATGAAGAAAATTATATATATATATATATTACTTTCCATAAAAAGAATTATTGACCTTACCCAAAAATTAAAGGCAAAATATATGTGAGAATTCCATCTTCTAATCATTAAAGTAAATAGAAACCCTACCAAAAAAAAAAAAAAAAATTTAGACCTTCCACAAATTTTTACAAATAAAAGTTTATAAAAAATTGCGTATTGGTCCTTATCCAATTGGGGAAACGCCTTACGGTACCCAAGGTTTGGAGAAACGACGATTGGTACCCAAAAGGTTTCAAAAAGACAAACAGGTATCTTCCATTTGGGAAAAGACTAGAATGCCCTTTGAAAAATATTAGTCTATTTTTTTAATTACTTTTAGTCCCCTTAAGTTGATTAATTCCATCAAATACCCCCAGAAAAAAGTTTAAAAATTAACAAAAATACCCCCACTCACCCATACTTGTCAGATTCTAGCGGCCACCACCGTAAATGGCCAGTAATTCACCGATCTGGCCTTTTTCGGTCAGATCTATAGTGGATCTGGCCGAAAAAGGCAAGATCTGACGTGAGAAGGCCAGATCTAGCTAGAAAGTGACTGCCAAAGATGGAGTGTTGTGGCCGTCGACGGCCAGATCCAGCCTTTTCCAGCCATATCCGTGGTGGATTTGGTAGAAAAATGCCAGATCGGTGAACTACCAGCCATTTCCAGTGGTGGCATAGACCGTTGTGACAGATTCAGGCTACCACTTGCGGTGGCCGTCGGAATCTGACAAGTATGAGTGGATGGGGGTGTTTTTGTTAATTTTTAAACTTTTTTCTGGGGTATTTGATGGAATTAATAAACTTAAGGGTCTAAAATTAATTAAAACAATAGACTAATATTTCTCAAAGGACATTCTAGTCTTTTCCCTAACAAAAGGTACCTGTTTGTCTTTTTGAAACCTTTTGAGTATCAATCTGTTGTTTCTCTAAACCTTGGGTAGGTGTAAGTTGTTCTGCCTATCCAATTCCAGCCGGAGCCATACCCAAATAAAAAACAAAACCAAAAGGAATTTTCCCTAGTTTTGCAAAATATATATATAATTTTTAAAAAAAGAAAAAGACAAAAGAAAAAAGGAAACAAGAGGTTGAAATATAGAAAACACAAGGAAAACACCTTATCAGTTATCACAAACACAAGATTTTAACAGGCAGAGAGCCAGCCACACATGCCCAACCCAGCCCACTCTATTCCCCTTCTCACCACATAAATGCAAAACAAAAACTTAAACACAAAAAAATCACTTCTGTTTTCACTTCTCTGTTCTCTCTCACTTTATCTCCCTATTTGGTAAGCTTCTTATTCTCATTCTCATTCTATTCTTCAAATTAAACCCCATTATTTATCTTGTTTTAGAATGAGAATTTAGAAATTAGAATAATTTTGTTTCTGTTTTTGATTTGAGCATGTTGGTTCTTGTGGGAAGTATGCCCTCTTTAGCTTCTTTGGTTAGTTTAGGAGGCATAAGTGTTGTGGGCACCAGTGGTTCTTCATCAGAATCGTCTTGTTATTCGTTAGTAAAGAGGGTTTCTTTGTTGTCTAAAGCAAATTATAGGGGTAAAAAGAGATGGGTTTGTAAATATTCTGTTACTACAACAACTACTGCAACTGATTTTATTGCTGACCAGGCCAATGGGTCTGTGTCTCTTGATTCTTCTAACACTTATACAGGAAGTAGTAGTAGTAGTAGTAGTAGTAAAGATGAGAGTGGTAATGATAATGGTGATAATAGTGATAATGGGATTGTTCTTAAGCCTGCTCCTAAACCCGTGTTGAAGTCGCCACCGGGGGTTAAGGGTGAACCAGTTTTGGGGATGAATTCGGTGGGTTGGGATGCGTCGAGAGTGAGTGGGGATTCAGATGAGGAAGAGAGGAATAAGGTTATTGAGTCGTTGGATGAGGTGTTGGAGAAGGCTGAGAAATTAGAGACTGGGAAAGAGAGTGGGAATGGGAATGCGTCTAATGTGAATGATAATAGAAGAAATGATAGGCCTGGGAATTCAGCTGGAACTAGGAAGACTAAGACATTGAAGAGTGTGTGGAGGAAAGGTGATACGGTTGCAAATGTACAAAAGGTTGTTAAGGAAGAACCCAAGATTGATAATAAGAAAGAGAAGCCTAGAATGGGAGGAGAGGTCCAGGTGGAGTCTCAGTCGAATGTTCCTTTGAGGCCTGCCGAGCCACCTTTGAGGCCTGCGCAGCCACCTTTGAGACCTCAACCCAAACTACAAGCAAAGCCGTCTGTAGTTCCTCCGCCCATGATAAAGAAACCTGTTGTATTAAAAGATGTGGGGGCTGCTCCAAAGTCATCGGCTAGAGATGTGAGTGAATTACATGTGAGAAGTAAAGAACGGAAACCAATTTTGATTGACAAGTTTGCCACAAAAAAATCAGTGGTTGATCCTGTAATTGCTCAGGCGGTCTTGGCCCCCAAAAAACCTGGAAAGGGTCCTGCCCCTGGAAAATTCAAGGATGACTATGGTAAGAAAAAGGCTTCAGGTGGAGCTCGGAGACGGATTTTTGAAGATGATGGCATTGCTGATGAGGAGACATCTGAACTGAATGTCTCCATTCCTGGTGCTGCAAGGAAAGGGAGGAAGTGGAGTAAAGCTAGCCGAAAGGCAGCTAAACTTAAGGCTGCCAAAGAGGCAGCTCCTGTCAAAGTAGAAATTCTTGAGGTTGGGGAGAAAGGAATGTTGATCGAGGAGTTAGCCGAAAACTTGGTAATTAGTGAGGGCGAACTTCTTGGGTACCTGTATTCAAAGGGGATTAAGCTTGATGGGGTTCAAACTCTGGACAAAGATATTGTGAAGATGATATGTAAGGAGTACGAAGTGGAAGTCTTAGATGCTGACCCTTTTAAAGTGGAAGAAATGGCTAGGAAGAAGGATATTTTTGATGAAGAAGATTTGGACAAGCTGGAAGACAGGCCTCCTGTACTTACAATTATGGGTCACGTGGATCATGGAAAGGTAAGTTGTAAAACTTCTGCAAATTTTCTGTTGACTAGATCTTGTGCATCATTTCTTAGTAATTTCTCTAATTTTTTTTGTCTTTTTAACTTGAACGTCAGTGGAAAGTAATTTAAAAAAATTGTTTCGGTTCCATGATTTTGCTAATATGTGTTTGGTTTTATACATTTGGCAGACAACCCTCTTGGATTATATCCGTAAAACCAAGGTATGCTCAAGCTTAATTATCTTAATGTCGGTTTTCTATTTCTTTTCTTTTTCTTTTCACAGAAAGTTTAGGGTCTGATTGTGGTTTGCTGTACTAGGTGATTTATGTCTTACCTTTTTTTTTTTTCTTTTTCCTCTTTTTCTGTTTCTTTTCACAGAAAGTTTAAGGTCTGATTGTGGTTTGTTATACTAGGTGATTTATAGCTACCTGTTTTTATTTCTTTATCTGTATGGTGACATAATCTGTCAGCATTGGAAGTCTATTCAGTTTTGTCGAAAATGAATTTAGATAATTGGCTGCCAAGGCCATCTGCAGTTGTTGATGTCCTGATGTGCTCATTATTCACAGAAGCCTGAATGCTAGATTTTTTGCAGGTAGCTGCATCCGAAGCAGGGGGGATCACACAAGGAATTGGAGCATATAAGGTGCTAGTTTCTGTTGATGGAAAATTACAACCATGTGTTTTCCTCGATACGCCTGGGCATGAGGTAAAGTTTTTTTGCTCAATTAGCTCTCCTAACTTTACTTTCTTTGCCAAGTGAGCAAATTTTTTTGGTCTTATCTTTTCTGCTGGATCATATTTGTTCTGGATTAATTGTTCATTTGACTAGACCTTGTCACTGGTACTGTATTACAAACTCAACTATAACTGTAACTTTCTTGCTCTTTCTTACCTTTAAGATGATATATATAATGTCCACTGCTGTAGGCATTTGGGGCTATGAGAGCTCGTGGAGCGAGAGTTACAGACATTGCTGTCATTGTAGTGGCTGCTGATGATGGGATCCGCCCTCAAACAAATGAGGCAATAGCACATGCGAAGGCAGCTGGTGTACCGATTATAATTGCTGTAAATAAGGTATGTCAAATATAATGATACTCTCTTTTCACAGTTAGATAAAAATGATGGAAACTACTGGAACTTGGCAACTTGTGTTTAGCTCATTGTTGGTGTAACTCTTGTTCTTGTTGTTTCTACTGTACCAGATTGATAAAGATGGAGCTAATCCTGACAGAGTCATGCAAGAGCTGTCTTCAATTGGTCTCATGCCAGAAGACTGGGGTGGTGACATCCCGATGGTTCAGGTCCTTTCTCTTTTAACATTATATGCATCATTATTTTATGATTTATACCTGTGGTCAATCCCTATACTCTCTCTTTTTTTTCTTAAACAGATCAGTGCTCTGAAGGGTGAGAAAGTAGATGATTTGCTGGAAACCATAATGCTTGTTGCAGAGGTGAGTTAATTATATTGTTGTGCAGCATTTTGGCTTTGGCATTCTTCTGCAATTAGAACGAAATAATTTTATTCGGTTGCTTAAGTTATCTTTGCATTTTATATTTTTTTTCCTTCCAAAATTAGGTTCGAACTGATAGAACCAAGGAGTGATCTTGTTTTCAGTTTTGCATGTTGAATTGCCTGTTCTTTGATGACACAATTTGTTTGAATGAGTGATAAAAAATGTAGAATTCTCTTGTTAATGCAGATAACAAATAAAACTGTGGATAATAAGTGAATTAGACGGCCAGTCAAATGACTGAAAAGAAGGATCTCATTATGTATAGGTTAGTTTCAGGTGCTGTTTGGAAAGTCTACTTGACTCTGAAAGTGCTAGCTGTTATCTCGTTTGTCTCCAATTTTTTGCCCTCAAAGGCTTAACTCATTGTACACAGAATTGTTTTCATTGGCACTTAGCAGTATTCTTTGCTGACTTCCTTTCAACTTCCCTTACCCGGATCATCAGTGTAAGCATTGGTATTTGGGTGGTTCAGTGAAAATCACTACACGTTTGGCTCTTATTTAATGAATTGCATGATCCCCATGCTTTCCTTGTTTTCTCTCTCCTCTTTTTTAAATTATCAATCAATTCTGATTACCATCGAGATATATATGTATATATACAATATTGTTTGGTCACTTGGATTGGTTATAGCTTCATTGAATAAGAATGAGATATGTGCTATCAGATTGGTTGTTCAGTGCAAATGGCATTTTTTAAACTCACTATGACAAACACACACACACATGCAAAGATGCGTTTGGTTATTATAGAAGTGCATAGAAGTTAATAGGATCCCATATCTTTTAATGTGACACCTTCTGAAATATGTTCCTGAATGGAAATAATTTTGTTGCTTCTTATCCTCATTCCAAGTATTCTGATTATGTGCATGATTGTTTCAGTTACAAGAGTTGAAGGCTAATCCTAACAGAAATGCGAAGGGTACTGTTATTGAGGCTGGTCTGCATAAATCTAAAGGGCCAGTTGCAACATTTATTGTGCAAAATGGGACTCTTAAAAGAGGGGACATAATAGTTTGTGGGGAATCCTTTGGAAAGGTTACTTTGGACTTAATGCTAAAAAAGGGACTGTTTATTATTTTGTCTTGAAATAATTTATTTATTTATTTTGTTGTGTCGTGGTCAGGTGCGAGCTTTATTTGATGATGGTGGGAATCGTGTTGATGAGGCTGGACCTTCTATTCCTGTACAGGTTTGTGTTGTTTATTCTTATATATGAGTGCTTGATATTATTTTTTACTGTAATTTTTAATACGATATCTTTGTGGAAAAACTTTTTCATGTAGCTTGCTTGATCTAAGTAAATTCAAACATTTCTAACCTTGAAAGTTCTCAAGGTCTTGTTCTGGCCTTGAGTGTTTCTCAACAGCATTGTCGCTGTTGTGGAACTTTGGTGCAGTTCTCTATTTTTGGGTATTTTTGCATGAATTTCGCAATAATGTTACATTTGATTTTCTATTGTTGAACTTGTGTTTAGAGTATTTTGGAGGCTACTGGTTTGAAGGAACTAACTATTTGCCAAAAATATACTGTTTCTGTTATTAAATATTTTAAAATTTTCACCCATTCTGAAGTTTGATTTATTGTTTTGGTTAACTGAAAATTGTCCAGCTTTTTCTTGACCACTATCATATTTATGCTCGAAATGTTCTAAAATTTAATGAAGACATGAATTAATGGGAAAATATCCAATATTAAGTCATTGAATTGTTGCTTGATGTATCATGTTTACAAAGAGGTATGTACTGAATTTAGCTTGGGAGGAGCGAATGGTGTCATGTAGAGTTTTTCTTATAGAGCCTAATACTTATGACAAAATGTTTTGTCTTTGATTGGTAGCCATTTTATGCCACAGTCAATGTATTACAGTTACATCTCATTAGTTGTCAATTTGGTTTGGGTGGTTCCTTTTTTTTTTTTTTTTTTTTTTTTTTTTGGGTAACGGGTGTTCGGGCCAGCTTGCATGTACCTCAACTATCTCCGGGGTCCATTTACACCCATTTGGGTAGTTCCCTGAGGAGCATTTTGGGATGAGGTGGTGTTGCTCAGTCTTGTAGGTATCTCCATTGTGTATGCTGTGATATGTTTGGGTGGAAAAGAATATGAGATACTGATTTTGTTGCTGCCCTGTCAAGAGAAACACCTTTCATACTGTCTTTTCCTGGGTTTCTGTATCTTTTAAATCTAAGGACCTTACTTTTTTCCCCCTTTTTTTCTATTATCCTTGTGGTTTTTCACTCTTTCCAAACTTGGTAGTAGCACTTACTGTTAATTGTGGAATAAGGTCAATAAAATTGAAAGTGTAAATGAAAAAAAAATATATATATATATTTTCAAAGCACAACCACTTTGCCTTTGATAAAAGTGACATTTCCTCAGTGAAATGGTATGTCCGATTACAATCCTGTGATTGGCCCAGTGTTTTGTTTTCTTTCATTTTATGATCCTTGGTTCAGAAATTCAGTTAAAACATCCGGGTGTGTACATCTGCAGGTTATTGGACTGAATAGTGTTCCAATTGCTGGTGATGAATTTGAGGTTGTTGACTTACTTGATGTAGCACGTGAAAAGGCAGAAGCACGTGCAGAGGCATTGCGTAATGAACGAATATCAGCTAAAGCTGGGGATGGGAAGGTCACACTTTCTTCCTTAGCTTCTGCGGTCTCAGCAGGAAAGCTGTCTGGATTGGACTTGCACACACTGAACATTATTCTGAAGGTTGATCTTCAGGTGAGCATAAGTGCATAACCATTGTATTAATTTATTTCTAGAAAGAAATGTGTCTATGTACGAGTAGTAGGATATTTAAACAGCAGATTGTGCATATATTATTATCAGTTAACCAATATTGGATACAATTGAACTGCAATAAAGCTTTTGAATAAGCAGAAAAGTTCATCAAAACATGTGAGTTTCTCATATACTTTATGCATGGATTTTACAATTGGAAAACTTATGGAATTGCCTTAAACTTATGAATAAAGTTTTTCATTTACCTAGAAAGCAAAAAAAATCGAATCTTGGAAGGTATGATCTGTGTGTTGGTACTACCTTTTTGCTTTTCTGAGTTATATTGAAAGTACAGATGAGGCGTATTACATTATACTTAATAAGGTTTACTACTTTACATGCAAGTAAATTTAAATTATCTTGATCTTGATTAGGGATCCGTCGAGGCTGTCAGACAAGCCCTGCAAGTGCTCCCACAAGATAATGTCACTTTGAAGTTCCTCTTGCAAGCAACAGGGGATGTCAGCACTAGTGATGTCGATCTTGCAGTTGCTAGCAAAGCCGTTATTTTGGGTTTTAATGTCAAAGCACCTGGATCTGTTAAGACTTATGCCGATAATAAAGGTGTTGAGATTCGACTTTATAGAGTTATCTATGATCTTATTGATGATGTGAGAAATGCAATGGAAGGACTGCTGGAACCTGTTGAGGTCAGTTCAACTCAAGTATTTATATATTCATTGATTTCCTTTCAATTCTTTCTGAGAAACTTCTAGATATTGAAGAGGCTGGGAAACTTGATAATCAAATGTAAGGAAGATCATATGTATGCCTTGCGTAAATGTCCAGCTTTTGTCTAAGACCATTTAAGAATAGATGGTTTTTGTAGTCTGCAGTGTTGCAATCCAAAGGATCTTAGGAGTTGAGGATTTGAATTATTAGTGCTTGCCTTTTTCTGATTTTTTTTATATGAAATTGTCGTTAGTGATGATTAACAGTTGAAATTTACTGCTCATTTGTTGATAGGATCAAGTAGCAATTGGCTCAGCTGAAGTCCGGGCCATTTTCAGTAGTGGCAGTGGTCGTGTTGCTGGATGCATGATAACAGAAGGAAAAGTAACAAAAGGCTGTGGCATTCGGGTTACACGAAATGGAAAGACAGTCTATGTTGGTGTGCTTGATTCTTTGAAACGAGTTAAGGAAATTGTTAAAGAGGTACGAGTTTATGCTTACATGCTTATGCTTACGTTAGAATAGCTTTGCACGTTTTGCATTTTGTTTGAAATGCACATTCATTCATTAATTCCTCCTGAACAGGTAAGTACTGGATTAGAGTGTGGTATCGGGGCAGAAGACTTTGATGATTGGGAGGAAGGAGACATTATCGAGGCCTTCAACTCAGTTGAAAGGAAACGAACCCTTGAAGAGGCATCAGCTTCAATGGCAGCTGCACTGGAAGGAGCAGGAATTGAAGTGTAGAAAGTCATGTGGGTATAAGTTTGATCATATTTGCTCAATGAATTCCCACGCCCTAGTTCCTACCGTCCAGTCCTGTAATTTTCCCAGAAAGGTAAAATGTGGATCAGTTTCCGCCACATGATTTATTATCAGGTGTGGGGTGCTGAAAATCGAAGGCTGAAGTCATTTGATCAAATTGTTGTATTCTAATCTGGTTGTTGTACATAATAATGTATGTCAATTGGAGTTTATTACTGTAAAGCGATAACATTCAAGTTCCTCAAGATTTTCTATTTTGTAATTTATTTTCTAACAGTGAATGCTAAAATGAAAAGGAAAGAAAAAAAAAAAAAAGGAAGTCTGTTAAAGTTTGAACAAATTGTATGATTCTCTCACCAATCCTTAACATTTACTCAATGTTTACTTGTACATTATCGAATCTACACTATGAACTTTTTTTTTCTTTTTTTATTTTAATGGAGGAATGTTAACAATTTCTTCCCTTACGTTCGGCAGAACCAAAAACCTAAATAGATCCATTTTAATATATTTTATTTACAGAAGTTTTACAATATAACAATAAAATGAACTTTTTATGTATTGAATTCAGTCACCAATTAAAGTTAATACATTTTATTTACATTTCAAGATGATTTAATTTCATCCATCTTGAAATCATTGTTTTAAAATCCGATCTAGGTAAAGTTACCCCCTTAAAGCTTGAATCGGACCGGAGAGGCTGTTAGGTCTCAATCAGACCGACTAGTCCAGATTTTAAAACAGAGTTTGAAATATCACAAAATTTGAAGTGCCTCTTCAATTTTGAAAAATTAATAAATCCCTCTATAAAATTATTAGAAATCTTTTTGAAAATATAAAAAACACTCTTAAAAAACCTCTCAAAATATTAAAAAAAAAAAATCCGAAATAAGGGGTGTTTAATTATCTTCATAAATTGATTGAAGTATATAAGACAGAATGATTTTTTTAAAGTGGAAGGATTAAATTACGTATATTTTATTTTTTTGAGACAATTTATGAAATGGATTTTGAAGTTGACTGATTTCAAGGAAATAATTAAGAATTTTTAACAAATTTTGGAACAATTGAATCTTTTCTAAACCTTAATTTCGTAAATATCTGTATATATATATATGCAAGAATTTGATAACTCCAGTCCAGCACGTGAGGAAGGCAGGAAGTTTGGCCACGTGGCAGTCTCATAAAAAGGCCCAAAAATGCCTGACCGTTCGATCGATGATGATCATCATCATAGGCCCGGTTAACGAATTTCAAAATTCAAAAAAACAACGGTCATCTTTTTCTTCATAACGAACACATTTCTTTCATTCATTCGATTCAATTCAAGTTCTTTCCTTAACAAAAATTCAACGCCATCTCCCAAAAAATAAAAATCTTTCACTTTCTCTTTTTCACTCTTTTATTGTTTCTTTTGAAAAGAGTAATTGATTGCCCATTCAAATCAAATCAAATCAACTCAAATCTTTTTCTTTAATTATTATCATCAATGGAGGAAGATCAAATTCTTAACATTAATTTTGATCTATGGAATGACCCACTTCTTCTCACCGACGTTTCTTGGCAACAACAACAAAACATCTCTTCTGACCAATGTAAGTTTATAACACTTCAAAAAACACAAAATTAACCCTTTATTTGATCTCTCTTTTATATGGATTTTTAAGCTCTTTATTAATTGGCAGATTATAGTAGTAATAATAGTCCCAATACTTCTCCAAGCTCTGTATCTGTAACTATGGCTGATTCTGCTCTTCGTCGTGACTCGAATGACGGTAATTGTTTGAAAAGTTTACATTTTTAAGCTGATATTCACTTCTAGGGTGCAGTGTGAATGGGGATTTGATAGAAAATTGTGTTGATTTTAGGGTTTATTTTTGTAGGTCTTTCTTGGAAAAATCAAAGCTTTGAAGCCAATGATATGCGGAATTTTGGTGGCCAGGTTTCAAATGACTCAGTTGATGGTAATCTTTTTTTGTAATTCTTTGAAAAGTTTCCTTTTTTGAACCTGATTAAACTTTTGAGGTACACTTATCTGTTTTTAGAGAATACTGTGTTGATTTTAGTTTATCTGTCTAGGTGTTTCTTGGAAAAATCAAAGCTTTGAAGCAAATGATATGCGGAATTTTGGTAACCAGGTTTCAAAGGAATCAGTTAATGGTAGTTGTTATTGTAGTTCAATTGGTCAATTGTTAATAATTGATTTTGTTATGTTTTAGAAAAAAATTGGTTGAAGAAATTTAATAGTTTTATTTTGTTTCAGGTAAGTCCATGTTGGGATTTTCTTTAACATCTCCTGATTTAGTGATATGTGGTGGTGGTTCACCTGATATTTTTCCCAAGGTTGATAGCTATGGAGATTCTCCTGAGATCTTGGAGAGAAGTAACTGTAAGTACTCTACTGAGGTTTCTTTAGAGAATGGCATTAAAGGCTCTGATAGCAACAACAACAACACCACCCTTAAGACTCCAACCGTAAGATTTTCATCGTTCAACAAAGAATTGTCTCCCGAATCTTCTTTGGAGCTTCATCCTCCATTAACAGCTCAAGAAGACTCACCAGAAGGTCACATTCCAGTTGTAAGCATCGATGCAGGTACCCCACTTTAGGCTGGTGTAGTTTTTTCTTGTTCTTTGATTGGTCCATATCTTTGTAGACTGAATCTGAAAGTATGTGTATCAGATTTTGGAGAATCGCAGGAAGTTCTGAGGATGTCCCAAGGGGCTGTATCCGAATCACCAAAAGTAAGGCCACTTTGAAACTACATCAATTTGATTTGTGTTCATAACATTTACATCTGAATCTTTAAATTTTTTCAGGATTCTCTTCTGATATTCATCATGATTCTCTTACTATAATGAATCTTGAAACGATTCAGATTTACGACAATTTAATTTAAAAAGTAGGGAAAGCCTATGATATTTCTCATTTTAGTTTTGAGTAGCCAGGGAGAAAGAGCAGCTAAATTTTTTGTGGTTTTCGTTGCTTTTCATGCATTACGTTGCAGGATGGTGTGAACTGTGAGGTTGAATTAGACTATGAAAAGCTGAAAGGAAGTTATGAGTATCAGAAAAAAGAATTAGTAGAGGCAAGAAGGGTGTTGGAGGAGCTTAGAATGGAGAATCAACTTAAGAGTAAAGAATGCCGAGAAGCTTGGAACTCTTTACAAGAACTACAAAATGAGCTCATGCGCAAGTCAATGCATGTGGGATCTTTGGGTATGTAAATTGTTGCTATGAGCAGTATTTATATTAAACTATATATAAGATAAGGGATTGATTTTGGCTATTTATAGCTTTTGCCATTGAGGGACAAGTGAAAGAGAAGAGCAGATGGTTCTCATCCTTGAGAGACTTGACAAGAAGATTGAAGGTACTGAAAAGATAAATTTTGAAGAAATCTGTTTAATATTCGATTGGCTTTGCAGTTACATTGGTTCTAAAAGATTCGTTTTACAGATTATGCAGATGGAACACATAAAGCTAGCTGAAGAGGCATCCACATATAAGAAATGCCTTGCGGACATGAATGAAATGAGCTCAATTGTTCAGTCTGAAAGTAATGACTTGATCATTCATCTTACTTTCTAGTCATAAATTCTCTCTCTCCTCTTTTGACTTTTTCTTACAGTTTTTTTTAATATTTGTTTTTATTTTAACAGTAAAGCATCAAGTAGATATGTATGAACATCTAAAGATTCAATTTGTGGAAGGCACCAAGGAACGAAAAGAACTATATAACAAGGTTTTAGAGTTGAAAGGTTAGATGTATGTTTGATCTAAAATTTGAGAGGTTGAAATTTTATTAGGAAATTGATGAGGCTTCACATATATTACAATGTACATTTGCAGGAAACATAAGAGTCTTTTGCCGATGTAGGCCTCTAAATACTGAAGAAATTGCAGCAGGAAGTGTGATGACTATTGATTTTGAATCTGCCAAAGACAGCGAGCTCACTGTGATGTCAAATGGGGCTCCAAGAAAGACCTTTAAGTTTGATGCAGTTTTTGGGCCCCAGGCAGACCAAGGTATTTCCTCTACCCATAGTTTATCTACTGCCTCACTAAAATACAATGCTACTTCAATAACAGAGTTTTGTATTGTTTTTCGTTTTTTTTTTTGTTTACTTCAGCTGATGTCTTCAAAGACACAGCTCCATTTGCAACCTCAGTTCTAGATGGATACAATGTCTGCATATTTGCTTATGGACAAACAGGAACTGGAAAAACGTTTACAATGGAGGGAACAAACGAAGCCCGTGGGGTAAATTTTAGAACTCTTGAGGAGCTTTTTCGCACAATAAAGGAGAGAGAGAAGCTATATCGATATGATATTTCTGTGAGCGTCTTAGAAGTCTACAATGAGCAGATCAGAGATTTGCTGGTGGTAGGCTCTCAGCCAGGAGCAACATCAAAAAGGTTGGTTACCAGTTTTTCTCTTTAATTTGCTTCCCAAAGTTGGTGAAAATTCCTCACCCAAGATAAATTTTCATGCACGTGTTGCTTCTAAGTCCTTGTGTAGATGAAGAGGTCATCAAGCTTGTAAGAGATTACTTTTATTTTTTTTTAACTAATATCTGTAAAATATTTGAGACCACTGTGAATGATGGCATTGTTTATTATACTAAAACTTTCTTGTAGGCTTGAAGTACGCCAAACAGGGGAAGGAATACATCATGTCCCAGGATTGGTTGAAGCACCTGTAAGTAACATCAGTGAGGTATGGGAAGTTCTACAAACTGGCAGTAATGCACGGGCTGTTGGCGCAACCAATGCCAATGAGCACAGCAGTCGATCCCACTGGTACGTTTATATCACACCTAAACTAAATCCAGTGTAATATATGTTCTGTGAAATCTGCTCATACACAGTGCTGAATACTAGTATGTAATTCTTTGTCCATGCACAGTCTACATTGTGTGATGGTGAAGGGAGAGAATCTATTGAATGGTGAACACACGAAAAGCAAGCTATGGTTGGTGGACCTAGCAGGAAGTGAGCGAGTTGCAAAGACAGAAGTGCAAGGAGAACGTCTAAAGGAAACTCAAAATATCAACAGATCATTATCAGCACTTGGCGATGTTATATCAGCTCTTGCAACTAAAAGCCCTCATATCCCTTTCAGGTTACATCTTGTATTACTGGTTCTTAATGTGCAATCGGCAGCACAATCTGTCTCTTTGTTCTAAATTTTTCTTCGCATTCTTTGCAATGTAGGAATTCCAAGCTCACGCACTTGCTTCAAGACTCTTTAGGTACTACTCCTAGGATTTTACCATTAAAGGAATATTTAGTTAATTTAGAATTTATTTGAATATGATAAAAATGGAAAACCTGATGAATGGAATTATATCTGGTAGGAGGAGATTCAAAGACACTCATGTTTGTCCAAGTCAGTCCTAGTGAGAACGACTTTAGCGAGACCTTATGCTCACTGAACTTTGCAAGTAGAGTGAGAGGGATAGAGTTGGGTCCTGCAAAGAAGCAGATAGACAATTCCGAATTCCTGAGATACAAACAAATGGTAAAAATGACTTCTTATTACCCATGTTCTTTGCTGAAATAATTTCACAAATGATCTGTTTCCAAAGTTGTGTCGTGCGCGATTGTCGACTGGTTTTGGAAAATCATGAATTTATCTGTTTTTAAGGTTGAGAAAACAAAGCAAGAACTAAAGAGCAAAGATGTGCAAAGCAAAAAGATGGAGGAAACAATCCATGGATTGGACTTGAAGTTGAAAGACAAAGACCTTAAAATCAAGAGCCTGCAAGACAAGGTACTTTTCCAGGGACTTTGTGTATCTAACCCAGCAGCTGCAGTTTTATTCTTTTTCTCTTTCACATGGTAAACTTATAGTCTTATCTTGTACATCTTGAAGGTAAAGGAACTGGAACAGCAGCTTCTAGTTGAGAGGAAGCTTGCTCGTCAACATGTGGACACAAAGATAGCCGAGCAACATCTGAAACAACAGCAAGACGAGCAAACTACAGCGCCTCCAAGGCCGCCACTTGTAAGTCGGGTGCCAGGACTCAAAAATTCCAATGAACCAGCAAGTATTAATACAATGATTAAAGAGCAAGCAAATCTTGCTCGACCACTAATGGAAAATAACAACTACAAGCCTCCCATACTTCTTCCTCCAACTGATGGCATAGTCAAGTACATCAATCCAACAGAAAAAGAAAACAACCCTGAGATGGCTGAACAACCAAGATTATTACCAAAGAGAACAGGAAGAGCCTCTCTTGGCCCAGCAATATGGCGAATCCCAGCTGCGCCAGCTCCAAGACGCAACTCTCTAATACCACTCTCCACTGCACCAACCTCAGCTCAAATCCCACCGGCATTGTTACCATTGCCAACACGCCAAGATGATGAGAAGGAAGAGAGTGATGGAAGCCTACCGGAACAAATAGTACATTGTAATAGTCCAAAGGGTATAAAAAGTGGGAGTAAGAAGCTGAGCAGCATATTGAGAAGAAGTCTGCAGAAGAAAATGCAGATGAAAACTCCGATGCAGCAACATTTTAGACGCGGCGGTGTGAATGTTGGGATGGAGAGGGTTAGAATCTCGATTGGAAGTAGAGGAAGGATGGCACATAGAGTGTTGTTGGGCAGTGGGAGAAGAGGAGGAACAAAGGAAATTCCGCAAAAGCAGAGTCACAAGGACAAGGAAAGAGGGTGGAATATTGGAACAGTTAGCAGGATTTAGATATAATTTACTGAAAATAGTTTGTGATTTTATCATTTATTGTGCTTCTTTGTTGTATGATACAAGGAACACAAAACAAAACAAAAAAATTGACTTGTGTGATTTTTTAAGATGATGCTTGTCATCTGTTTGAATCTTTGTATTTATTAATGTACAGAATGACATTCTTGTGATCAGTTTAATTCTTGGGTTTTGCTTAATTTATGTATGAGTTAATTGTAATTTAGAAAATAGTTTTAAGGGAAACATTTACTTGAGGATAACAATTTTTGGACCTTTCGATTCTTCGAACCCGCCGATTCACCGTCTTCCAGTAAAGTTTTAGTATTTAATTTGACAAATCAAGATAAACAAAAACCCTAATAGATCATTGTCACATTAATTGGTCAAATCAAGAGCTCGGATTTTATTTACAGACAATCTACACTTATAACCTAATCTCACAAACTCTCTATTTCAATGTTTTGCTGATGAATTTCCCAAAATTCAAAACTCATCAACAAAAAACTAGGACCTGCCACGTAAAAGTTGTGAGATTAAGTTCTAAGCCGATCTTTATTGTTTATTAGTTTATGACAAAAGTAGAAGTTGGTATAGAGCCTCTAGTATTTTAACATTCACCCACTTCGATATTTCACTATATAAATAAAAATTAAAACATAATAGTAAAACCAAAAGGAATTATTCAGTTAATCTGCTGAAACTATTTAATATTGTTCATTTACTTTACAATAAAATAAAAATGTAAACACCAAAGTTATTAAAATATATTTGATTCCTTTATGATTGCTCTAGACTCTTTTTTAACTTTGTATGCATGTGTACATTTGTATCACCTCCAAAAAGAAGTTTCTGAAACTCTGATCTACAGCTCTTTAATGGTGGGAATGTATCTGAGTTTTTAACTTACCTTTCCAAAACTGTTAGGATGGCGCCAAAAAGGCGATGAAATGGATATGCAGGCTAAGTGGATTTGTCACCAAAGCCGAAACATTGATTCCCTTATTCTTCTCCAGATGCTAAATTGAAGTGTAGAAGGCTCAACTGTCTGCTTTTCCATGATTCTCTCAATTGATGGCCCCATTTCATGCACAAATTTGATAGATTCTGAGAGTCGATTGAGCAAGTTTACCAGAGCAATCACTTCATTACGTTGCAACTGGAGCTGTGAAACCAGCAATGTGGAGAGAGAGGTCAATTCAAATTAAGCAAATACTATATGAACTGCATACCAATAAGTCAAAAACGAAAAATTTAAGATCTGCAAGCAGTTAGACAATGCGACAACATATACTGTAAAAGCAGCAAAAACTCACGCGTTGTACTTGGAGATCATGACCGTCAACAGAAAAGAGGATCTTCAATGCGGTGCCAAGACCAAGAACCTGAAGTTTTCCCCAAAGTCTACACTTCTCACAGCCAACACAATCCATCAATGCACTGCAATAGACATGGCAGGATACACAATTTACACAGATTTACAATGAAATTCGGTGAAATATTAAGCGTTGCTAGAAGTCAATATTGAGCCACACACACAATAAAGGAGTTTCCATTGTTAGTAAGGTAAATAGATAAATAACTATGAGTTGAGACTAAGAAAGAAACCTAATGTTCCTGAATTGCTTTTGAATCTGCAACTTCAGTTCGGGTCCACTTTGACCTTGCCAAAGTTTAGCTTCATCGAATGGAACAGGACATGCAGCTTGGAGTTTGGGATTGTAAAGTAGCTGCTTCATTAAAGATTGTGTTTTGAGGTCCTCTGTATGGTTGCCAGTATCGTATTCAGCCTGCTCCAAGTAATCTGCTGCCTGCAACACAATTTTAAGGTATTACATCAATCTCGCGGATAAGCCAATTTATATGTAGAAGACCTGGAAACACAAAAACTAGGCCAGAAGAACTCACCTTAGTCACCGCGCGCAGAACAAAAAGGAAAGTGAAGTACAAGTTTCTTACACGATCCTGATATTTTAAAACACGGTCGTACATCAACTCCAGATTCTGACCCCACTGAAATTTTATACAGAATATGTCAGATCCAAATTAACCGATAAAACAACAAAATCTTTTACAGATTATATTTTGGCTATAGTATAACATCTCATAAAAGAATTGCATGCGTCACGGATGAAGTTATCAATAACAAGTCATACAATAAGTCAAACATTCATCAGTATTTTAATTTACTTTCTCCATATGTGAATCTTTATTATCACCAAGAGGATGGCCTAGTTGATTAAATTTCTTGTAGTGGAAGTAACAGGTTAGGGATCTGCGTCATACCAACGTTGGAGGGGGATCTATTTAATTTGAGTTTGTGTATGGAGAAGGATGGGGTGGGGTGCATGGTAAAAAAGAAAGGTGAATTTTATTAAAAGAACATAAAGGCCCAACCCATGTACACAGGAAGATATCAAGATAAAACCTAAGAGCGAAATACAAGTATGAAATCTAGGTGAGACTGATATTACTTAAAAAAGTAATATCTTAGGGAGAAAAGTTTGATTTTACCATTGTTTTTTATCCTTTTTAAGCAAAAAACAAGTTTGAATGATGCAGCTAGAATTTTATTCATTAAAAGCCATTCTATGCCTTAAAATATTATGTGAATATATAATTATCTATGGAAGAAATGATCTAGATCATTCAACCAGGAGCAAGACACATAATATGAATACCACACAATATGGAATCACCTCAAAAATATAAAATTGCTCCCATCATAGAATATATAGTAAAAAGAGAAAGAACTATAAAGTCAAATAGCATTATGTAGAATACTGACCAGATTGGTAGTTTCATCAAGAAGATAATCAGCAGCTATGTGGATTGAAATTGAAGAGTGAAGACCGGATATTAATTTGTACAAAACCTTTTTCTCCTGGCATATCTCTCCCGATGAATCTGCACAAAATCAAACACAATATTACCTCAGAAAATATTACAAAAGGAAAGAACAAAAAGAGAGAGAAGCATAAAATCAGAGCAGTAATGAGGCCAAGCCTATATTGAATCTCACTACAAATACCTATATATAATTAAATGCAGAATAATCAATAAAACTTGATTAATATGAAAATATCAGGCTTCCATAGTATTATAGAAAGAACATGGAGCTTCTTACTAAAGAAACAGAACAGAGCAGCAAGCAGATATACATATACAAAAAACAGAGTGTACCAATTAGCTAAATCATCCACTATCTTTTCTTTTTCTATGTTTCCTAATTCATTATTCTTTAATCAGGATATGCAAAACGTGCAAACATTTTAAACAAAATTGATCCGTAAAGGAGAAAAAGAGACACTAATGTAGGAGCAGAGGGTCAAGGCAATAAAGAATGCTTTCCAGTGGTTTCTTCATAATGCAGTCAAAACCTCGTATGTATTTTGTATGGTCAAATCAGCCTTGACAATTTATAAATTTACTGACTCAGATAAAGCATCCTAAATGTATATAACAAAATTCATTTCAGCATGTTGTTTGGCACAATGATCAACCAAAAAGATATCAACTCACATTTTGGACAGTTTTCTGTATAAATAGCATCCCATATCCTCCTAGCCGATGGACCAGCATAGCCAGTGTAACGTTCAGGATTTAGCAGAAGATTTACATATGTCATCCCACCTGCAATTTAAAATTTTGATTAATACACTCTGCAAAGTTCTCTTTCAATAAAACTTCATTAAAACAAACAACATGCATCTCAAAAACGACAATAAAAAGTTGTAGCCATGCTGCATCTTTTGGTTATGCAATAATCATGAAAGCAATTTACCCAGATTACATCCAAAGAGAACACCAAGAAGGTGCACCAAAGATAAGTCTACTGTACCCATGATTTCTTCAAAAGGAAACAATTATATGAATTTGTGGTCTTATCCCTAATTCAAAAATGTTCTGCTGATTTGTAAAATCACCTAAGCAAATATTATATGGTAGGCATTCTAAAAGTAGTTGTACCATTATCAGTCTCATCATCATTTGTCCATGGGTTATCTGTTTCTATCCAGCCTCTGAAAGCTCTATTGTCTAGTGTGCGGTCAACAGCTGCCTCAGGCTTTCCCTCTTGACACATCACATCATCTGAAGGGAGACCATTGCGGAATGGCTTCTTAAAAGGTTCTGGAAATTCATTTTCTGGACATTCACAGACACTGCAATCACGCAACCGGCACATTCCATCATCAGGCCAGAAGGGACAATCACACCACAACTTAACCTACATGGGAAAGAAAGATATCAGAAACCAAAGAAACAAGAAAATAAATATACATGGCTAAAGAATTTCCTAAGCATAATACCATTTCAAACGACATTGAGAGAATAAATATTGATTTTGGACATTACATTGTGTAAGTTTTCTATAATCACACAGTATTTTCTGACATTGACTAACCATGTCCTCCTAACTCCCAAGAACAAAACCCACAAAATGTGTTTGTTCAGAATGTACTTTGAGAGAACAATAAAGGAAGCCGCTGCTAAATTGACCTACAAGTAAAATGATGCTGGTGAAAGAGAATAAATATCCACAATTCGTTGGTTGACATGATAGTAACTAGAATACTGTACCAGAAGAGAAAATAAAAGCCATCCTAAGAGACATTTTGCATTGAAATTAAATGACCCTTCTATAACTGAGAAAATCTTGATACATAAATTTACCTACATATGTACTGCCACCATAGTAAATATTAATAAATTATGATGCTTCACAAATTACTTGTTTTCTTAGCACTTTCAATAGAGTAAATGATTTTTTTTTTTCAGTAAATATGGTCTTTTAATCATTTCAGTTTATATTCAGTCCATCTTGTTCAATATTAGACTACTGAAGACAAAAACAATCTTTCATTACATCCTCATTCATCCCCAAAAGAATCAATTTAAGAAGCATGGTTCTATAATATTCATTGCACTAAAAGAAACAATAAATTAGGTTATTCAAACACAGTCTGCACATATTCAGAGCTAAATAATAGCGCATACCAGACCTTAAAGTATCGGAAAAAGGGAGTCTTAACAAGTTCTTGTAGCAGAGGGTGCAAAACCTCCGCATTAACACTCTCCACTGTCTCATAATCACAACAACAGTCCTCAATCATGCCCTTATACTTCCCTGATTCCTACAAAAAAAAAAAAAAGCCACAACTCAGTTTTAAGTAGTCCATACAAAATCTCCACATTGCTAAAGGAATCATTTCTCGTACCTGCACTAAATAAGAAACAATTACAGTGCAACTAGCAGCTCTCTATTGTTCTTTGAAATATAATTCTCTAATAAAACTATAAAAATTGAATCTCCCAATTTTAACATATGTTACATGTATTAAATAGTGTACTTGAAAAAAAAGATTTTCCAAAAACAAAAACAGTTAAAACGCTTGTTGCACTTTACTTGGAGTCTAAAACATATGATTGCATTCGTGAAACACGAGATTTACAACATTATACTTCTAGATTACAAGAACGCGATCTATATCTATATCTATATCATATTTCAACTGCTATTTCGCTATGAGTTTCACATTATCATTTCACCTTACGATTACCGCATTCTGATATTGAAAAGAAAAGGTGATCATAACATCGACTTAACCAGACTCAACCCTAAATTGCATAAAGTAAACACGAATTAAAGTCTACGCCACTTAAAGCACAAAATAAGGTCATTCTACCGTAACATTACCGTTACCGGCACGAGATTCCGATAACATGCCATGATAGTTCATATATTTGAATTAATAGTTAAGATTAGCATAACTAAAACAAAAATAATCATTGTTAGTTGTAATGAAAAGTAAAGAAAGAATACCTGAGAAGAACACTGACAGGACTTGTCATTGTTACTGAACAGAAAAGATTTAGAAGCAGCTCCGGACGTTACAGCCGTCTTCACTGCCGTCGCCAACAAGACAGCGATCAATGCCGTGATTAATGCTACCGTCCACAAAGACCATCTCCGCCACCTCTTCGTCGTCGGCGTCTTCTTGATTTCTCCTTCACCGCTACTCATCTCCTCCTTCACCATCTCAAATTCAAAATCTCTCAATTATATCATCAAATCCTCCAGCTCGATATTATCAAAGCCTCCAAAAGAGAAATGTCAACAACACGTTTTAGTACTAATTAGAATTAGATTCAGAAACTACGCGCCACCCCTTGTAATGTCGCCAACGGTTAAGGAAATGTTAAAAGGACATTCTATAGCCAGCCGCGGTAGAGAAGTGAAAGCGACTCGCGTATTGTAAGTACCTTTTCCTGACTCGTGTTGGATTTTTAAAGCGAGTGAAGAGGGTTTGATTTTTTCATCGCGTGTGAAAAGAGTACGTATAGGTGAATGTGAATTAATGTTGGTCGGGTTTGTGTAGGTGACGTGCTCTAACCAATAGGAGCTCGAGTTGCTCACACTTGTTTACTTTATACACATTCGCAAAGATTTAGGTTTTGTTTGGTTCGCTAGAATCAGAAAGTAACACTTTGGTCCAGTGTTCTGTGTTTAAGGGACAAAAACTACCTTCTCATTTTACGGGGACTAAATGGGTGGTTTTAGGGACCTAAATGTTACTTTTTGATTTTATTGGTCTAAACTAAACCCCAGGGATCTAAAGGAATATCCCCAGCGTAATCTGAACCATCTTTTTAATTAATAGTTTTTATCTGGAACTTGAGGTTTAGTGGAATAACAAGGTTTCTTCTGGATTTCCAAGAGAACATAAAACTTAAAACCCCCTATCTTGGGACAAAGCAGACAACTATAGTAAACAAGAGAATAATGGATATAATTTAGAATTACATGGTAATATTTACCTAACAGTTAAAAAGGTGTCCCAATGCATATTAGAAAATTATTGACAAATTATGTACAAAGATTGAAGATTGCAACCCAAGTGCATTCATTCATTCCAGGTCAATAGAACTTTGTTCAATCAGGGCTGCGAGCTTTATACTTGAAAAATGCCCTAAAACAACCCACCCTACTGTGTTTCTCATCTGTCTTTTCCTGGATCATCCAACAAATTTGGTTGGTGAAACAAGCTTTCTCTTCATCTCAACCTTCAAACCCCTCTTTTGTCAAAACCGGATTCTTCCACTAGGAGACGGTTCTTTACTTTTTGTGAAGGATGACAAGACTTTCGAAAACCCTTCACTTGAGTGATTTAGGTCGACGTTCTTCTCCATTGCTTCTTCACTTTCTGATTCAACTTGAATGGACTCCAGCTCTTTCTGCGTTTGGAGGTTTCGCAAAAGAGGCCAGAGGCGAGAGCCTGCTGAAGCCACAGCTCAAATTCTTCCTCGTCCTCATCCATCATCTCAGCATCCAAATCCCAAGGGAATCTGCTTGAATGGGATCGTTGTGTCTTCTCCAAACCAACCATGTTAACATGGAAGCTTGGGCGATGTGTGTTAGGCCTACACGACATGCCCTGCAAGGAATAATTTCAGGCTATGAAATACTAATAAGACTGGAGTTTCTGCCCCATTTATAACATGTTTCCTCCCTTTTTTGGCTCCTCCCAGCCAGTTAGAACTTAAACCTATGGCTTCCACAATCTCTTTAACAAAATCAGGAAAAAGGATACAAAGTGATTACACATTAAATTTAATCACTGACCTGGCAGATAGCCCATTCTGAGACATCAAAGATTTTGCTCTCAGCACAAACAAAAGCTCGGGGTATTTCCACCTAAAAGACAGCAAAATCAAATTGCTAAGCATCATAGTAATAAAAACCTGTCACATCACAGGAAAAAAATGAAAGAAAATGCCACAATATTCACTTAATAATTGATGTTAGAAGCAGACATTTAAATACAAAACAAGAATGCTAATAACAATACCAAGCTTAATGGAGACAAAAAGGAATAGTCACTCTTCACAGCCTCATAAGCAGGTACTAGTCTTTGATGAATGGCAAGTTGATGAACTTACATGCCCATACAGAATAAATAAAAAGTTCAAAGAATCCTTCTGTGGAATGTTAAACTCAGAAAATGATGACCAAAAAGGGAATAACAAAATGCAGCTAGATGAGTGATTTGAATATCTCAATAGAATTCCAAGGAATCAGCCACCACGTCTTAGGAATAATATGTAAGAATACCTTCATGCATACATTCTAAAGGGCCGTGACTTTTTATTGGGCGAATTGATTTGGATGCCTGTTCTAACTAAGAAGTCTATTACTCTGTACCCGAATACTTTTCACTAGAAGTCCCCATAATGCAAGAGCATCAGAAAGAGTTTTCAACTATTTAAAAGTTTCAAAACCATATAATAATAAAGCTGAATTACTTAAAAACTGCAGATAAGGAAATAAAGGTCTTTTTGAAAAATAATGTACCTTTTGTTTCCTATCAAAGGCCAATGAACCTTTGTATTCAACCCATCCATCGCCATCTTTGGCTTGATGATATTGACAACAGTCCTGAAGCCAAAAAGCTCTCTCACAAATCCATAACATCACAAAAGAAGATTCATTTGAGAGTTAACATAAACCGAGCAAAACCGAAAAGACTGACCTGACACCATCTTGCCTTGGCCTTACTCCTATTGGTGCAGACCCATATATGTGAATTGCCACACTTAGTGCACTGAATGCGCCTCGACTCCTCAGAGCAGTAATCTGGAGAATCCTGCTTGAATAAGAGAAGCTTTTGAGATTTTTGTCAATATAGTTATGACTTTGCATCAGAGAATTGACTCAGCCACCAGGATTGGCTTAAAGACATACAAATTTCTGCATGAGGGGATCTACTATCATAGCATATGCAGACAGGCATTGATTGCATTCGAAGAAAACACCTCCTGCTACTTAAAAAATTCTTACCCTACTTTTCCATTTGTAGTTTGCCCCTGGAATCACCTCACCGTACTTTATAAATTAATTCTCTCATTAACAAAAATGTAAAATCAGCATGCATGGACAACACCATGTGAAATTTCTCCTTAGAACCCAAATTTCTATAATATTAGGGCAGAAAACTAATATTGTGAGACCCAGTGTTATATTATGAATTCAAAAACAAGATTTGCATATACTACTAGTGTTTTGCAAACATAAATGTTTTTAAGTATTCCTTTCTACATTGTTTTAAACCTGGCCCGGCCCGGCTGGTTGAATTGGTTCAACCAAGACCCGGGGCTTTCACCGGGCTGGATTACTTGTTTCACTATTCACCGAGAACCCTAAAAATTGGGATGATGACCAGCAAACAATTGAAGACCTGGATGTTAGGGCTTTTGAAGGGAAAGTGCCTGTGAGTGCAATGGTGGCAACGGAGTTGATTTCTGGTGAGTGAATCGACCGAAAATTAAAAAAAAAAACAAGCGGTGGCAACAGCTGGCTTTTGTCAGTGATTGGCAAGGCTAACAGGGATGGGGTGAGGTGGGTTTTGGTTGGGAGGCAGAGGAGAGTATTTTGGGGGTGATGGGGAGGGTTGTCGACGCCGAAGTCAGTGAAATCTGCTCAATTTCGACTAGATCTTGGGTCGATTTTTTAAGAAATGAGCTTAAGGGATGATCAAGATTGTATTTCGGGTGTCGCCGCCGCCAACCAATCGACTGCCAATTTGCATTTGGGGTGTGTTTGCTAAATTTCAAACCTGTAGAGACTTAACAGTGATTTTCAGGGGTGTATTTGCTGAATTTTAAAAATTTTGTCACCCGGTTTGACCGGCCGGGCAACCAGGGACCCGGCAACTTCGCCGGGTTTCACCCCCGGTTGGGTTTTAAAACATTGCCTTTCTATGAATTTTTTTGCAACCACTTTGATGCTTGTCAATATAGCCAAGAAATACAAATGAAAACCAACACCATGTGCAATTACCTGCCGTGAAGCCCCATATGATTTCTGACAAACACTCTTAGTCCTCAGCTCTTCCTTCCTCAATTGCTCATCATAATCTCTCTTTTTTGTCAAATCGGAAAGCACCTACAAATTTATACTCATAGTAAGAGCAGAAAAAAAAATCACTCCTGCCTATTAAACTAATCGAGATTTCATTTTAGTGATACAAGAGATGAAACCACAAAACTCAAAAAACAAGCAAATAGAAGAACATTCTATATATTGCTTTATACCTCATAAGCACATTGGAGTTTCTTAAACGAATCACTAGCCAAAGGACTTCCCATGTTTTTATCAGGATGAACGAGCTTGGCCTGCAAAACATAAAATTGAAAATAATCAGTAAGAGCACATGCATGAATGCAAAAACATACAAAGAACTAAAATTAACTAAATGTTGATGAACAATGTGATTCTATTCCACAACATATACCATACTTAATTAATTTGACTAAATAGGAAAATGAATCCCATTTGTTCCTAAAAACAAATCTTTGAAAGGAGACTTGCATCATAGTGCACTTTCAATTGAATTAGTAAAGGCAACTTCCAATTAATTCATTATTTAAAAAAATAACAATCAAAACTGAAATCTGTAAAGAACAACAGTGACCAATAAAATCTAAATTTACCAAAAGAGACATGAATACATCTCTAACAACAAAAATTAGCTATACCTTCGTCCGATATTCCTTTTTCAAGAGTGTAGCATCAATTTTCTTTTGGCGAGGAAAACCTAATGCTTCATAATGATCCATACAATTTAATATTCTTTTCATCTCATCAGCTGAGGTTATTTCTTCTCTCACAACCTTTTTAACAGAAGTCTCTTGTTGGTTATTAATTACAAATGAAGTAGCAGTTGACTTGCTGGATGATTTGCATGAGTGCAATTTTTCAGGTTCATCAGTAGGAGTAGAGAATTCACATCCTCCAGAGAACTCATCTTCTGTGACTGTTTCTGATTCTTTCGGCTCCTCACAGCGTGCGTTTTCACTCACATTATCACAAAATTGAAGCAAATAATTCAACAGATCATTAGAGACAAACGCAAGGTTTATTGCGAGGAAAACACCAAACCATCCAACTTGAACTTTGACACAATAAAGAGCATAAATAGTTGCCATTAAGACCACGAACCGTGCATGATTTAGGGAAAACAAATAACCTGCATTTAAAGAGTAAGAGTAAAATATCTTAAAATTGACAGAAATTGAGCAGGACAAATGACAAATATAAGAAATGTATGTCCCAATTTCCAGAAAAACTTCAAAGGATCATGCACACAAGGAGACATCTTTAATCAAGGGAATGCAGAAATGCAGCATGAACACAACATACACTTCCCATGCCATTGTATGCTTACTAAAGGCACTCTTTTTAACGTATAAATGCATTTGCACTTGTTATTGTGGAGTCAACCAATTACTGATAAATTGATTTCCCCTTAGAATAAGTCAGGATATAGCTACAAATTTCCCGCTGCCAAGACCATTGGGTCTAGTGATGAATGCAAGCCAAGTTTAAAAGAAATCTCTAATAAATTAGACAAACAGGAGAACTCGTGCACAAAAGCAAAATTTAGTGAGTAGAAAAACCATGAGCAGAAAATGCAAGCCATAGAGGACACCAAGAAATTGAGTCAATGTCATGTTTGTAAATAAATAATGGACCCACTGAAAAGAAGAATACACAAACAAACATTCAGTGTATACTTCATTCTATTCCAGTTTCTGTTTCCTTTTACTCATATTCTTAAGAAAATGATTTAGTGCTTTGCGCTAGTATAATTAAGAATGAAGTTTACCATCAATTCTCTAATTCCTATTTTCTTATTAAGTTTGACCACTTCTTTTGCCTTTCCAAAATGCATATCAAGTCATCTAACATTGATAACAAGAAAAATCAACTCTCCGTCACACTTCTTTCAGTTACCACTGTGATATCAGCCTAACTGAAGATCTAACAAAGAGTTGCCTCTTCAAGCCATCTTTCTTTAGCATACTGAAGGCATTACATATCTTCCTCTTTTTTTTCTCCCATGTAGCTATGATAAATATCATATGCTATATCATTCCAAGTCTTCCAGAAAATATTCATTCTCACAGGAGCAGTACAAGTCAGTGATATTTCTCTTCCAGAATCTTGGGAGATGCAGACACTGTAATGTTCTAAGATTATTATTATTATTATTTTGGTAGGTCTGTTCTAAGTTATTGCTGTAAACTGAGTTAATATTTCCTCTTAGAAACAAATTCCACACCATCCTGTAAATATCCCTTCCATATTTCAATGATGCAAGCTGCAAACAATAATCTGCTTCACAGATTGCAGATGACACTTAAGAATATATAACTTAAACATAGGCAGCTAAGTTATGGAAGTCTCTCATTCCAAATCCATGTATACTTGAACAGACCGAGTTGCAACCCATATCTAAGTTAATCAAAACTATTAATTTCAAGTACCTGTTTGTTACAATAATAAGAGAGTCAGGCAAAATCTTCATTCTGTGGTCAATAGAATATTCAGGGTGAAAGCCTTTGCTCATACTCATACATTATATGCAAAACATTTATCTTGAGAGTTCAACAAAGTTTTCAAATTGCAATACATGTCAACTTCCTCTAAACTCAACATTATGACAACTGGAAAGGTTTTACATACATTACAAAAACGTATTAATATTGGAATAAATATGTAAACTATATCTTACATCTTATGAAAAACAAATAAAATAGAGCAAGAGACAGCATAAAACATTAATTCATAGAGAAAAATTGCTTTGTATTTCTGAAGCAAAATATACAATGCAGTATAATCAATGCAATAGCTAAAACATCCAAATGGCATTGAATTACAATATTAGGCAGAAGAAAATGATAAACTATTTATGAGCAATTGCACTATGAACATTAAAACCACAAAATCCAAGGGCCAAGAAAAAAGGCATACCTCCAACTATAAACAACGTTCCAGTTATCCAAAAGTTAGCATACATCCATAAAACCAAAATACCAAACAAGCCTACAATAAAAAGCCCAGGAGTGTAACCCAAGTACTGAACAGCAGCTCCAGCAGCTCCCTGGATCATTGGAGCCAATTGTTAGCCCGAGTTATTCATGTTTAATTTTAATAAAATGATATTTAATTAGATAGGTGCAATTGCACAAAGCCAATGCAACTATAAATATCATTTAAGTCAACACATATCCACTGATGTCATCTGCTACATGTTTTCACTTCAATACTAAGTTTCACACCCATAGTCATCAGCAGAACAACTATTTCCAACAGTCAAATAATTTGGAAGCATGAAAATATTAAAGGTGAGAGGTGGAAAAACCAGGCACATAATATAACAATATGAAAATTCTCAAAAAAGAAAGATAAGGCACAGTAATGTGTAATTAAACTCAACGATGGAGTTTTGTTCTCCAAATAAGAAATTAGATAAATTAAATGTTGAACAAGAACTAAAAATATAATATCACTCAATTATTTAAATTTTTCAGATTGAAAGGTTGCCCTTATGTATATATAAGAAAATTTATTCCAAGATTCCATCCCAATCAAAATACCACTAGTCCTGTCCTAGACTAGAGATCTAAGCCATAAATGTAGAGCATGTTTCTCCAAAATTATATAACATTTATTCATCCTAGGAGAAATGTTCAAACATGTCAAAGCCCTCATCAAACTGAAACTAGTAACTATACACAAATAAAGGTTAAATTTCACAACATTATTTTAGCCTATGAGGAACTTCCAAGTATAATAAGGCTCTCAACAAATTGAGCTAGCATATGTGCAACAAATAAACATGGAAAAGAGACAGAATAAACAATGAACCACAGAAAGATTTGAAACATGTTGAAGGGAACAAGAGATGCCTGATTGAAAAGACTATAGATGTTTTAAACAACTTTATCACAGAGAGTTTGCCACAGTTCCAATCCACATAATCTAGGGCACTCAACTGTAAAAATTACCAAATTAAAAATAATAACAATAATAAATTAATGAACTGATGATATCAAAACCCAAAAAAGCTACTGCCGACTAACATTTATTAACACATCACAAAACAATTCCTCCACAAAACAATAAATTTATGGAAACGTATTGATACATACCCACTTAAAATAAATACATAAAACTACATAAGGAAACCAAACTAAGATTCAAATCTTGAACACTTATTTATGAGATCAAACGAAAAAGCAACAAGGTACGAAGAATCAAGAACATACCATACAGAGAAGTACATAGAGCAAGCAAGACATAGAAGTCAGACTAAGAAAGCAGCTCCACATTATAATCAACAAGGAAGAAGAACCCAGTTTGACCATTGACTGAAAGCCCCTCACAAAACAATTCCTCCACTGAACCACCAACAACAGCAGCACCATACATAATTTTGCAAAGCCACGGCAAACCATCGGCCAATGCCGCTCTATAAACACACCCACTTTCTCCCTGAAACAACCCAGCCCCACTCGTGCTCGCGAAAACACGTTTTTCTGAGATTGCAGCCACTTCCAACCTTGCTTCACTAGCCCTATATCCTCCATATCACCAATACAATCAAAAAACTACAAACAATGAATCGTAAAACGTGTTCTTCTCATAGTTGACGCCACTATCAAACCCTGAACTTAGCTTGATCTACCAAGATTACAAAAATGTCCGGTGATTTCACAGGCTTCTCGCAAATAAAGAGCCCAAAGGAAGAAGATACTGAGAACCCATGTGATGAATATAAGAAGAGATTAGAAACAAAGCTGAGAACCCATAAATTGAGTCACGTTCAACGCTAATTTGCTTCACATGTACGTTTCCATAAAGCAAAAAAAAAAAAAATGGTTCAAAAAAGCCAGAGAAATGAGAATCAATTATACCCTTTTCAACACCACTGTCGACTCTCTTTCTACAAACCCACTTGAATCCAAAACCACCCACAAGCCAGAAGCCCTCCTCCTCTCAGGGGAACTAGATCGAACACTTGGAAAACAGAAAAAATAAGCAAAAAAATACAAGATTAGAGGAACAGTAGAAGAGGAGGAAGCAAGTAGAAGAGTTAGGTTGAAGAGTAAGTGTGGAAAGAATGGGTTAAAGTGAAAGAGACAGGAAAGAAAAGTGAACAGGACAGTATTTGTATTGTAATGTATTGAAGGGGGAATGTGGGGGAGAGATATAAAAAACCCTAGGTTTTGATGGTGGTGCATCAGAAAAAGAGAGTAAAAAAGTGTTAAAAAAGTTGGGTTAAAGAAAGAAAGAGAGAGACAGGAGTGAGAAGAGATGTTGGGCTTAGTTGCAGAGGAAAGAGAGAGAGAGATTGTTTGACATCAATTACTTTGTTTCATTTTTAGGATGGCTGGATTGATGAATGAGAATTGTTGAGTAATAAATATTCCCGGGACCCTCTGCTTTTCTTTCTTTTGTAAGTGAACAGTCGGGTCGGGTCGGGTCACATGGTTTGATATCTATCCATTAATCAACTATTTTGATACACATTTAAGAAGTGAAAACTATTTTGGTCATGGATAATAAGATTAAATAATATAAACTTGTCTCAATGTTTCTTACATTATTAGTCAATCTAGATATACTTTTAGAAAAAAACAAAAATAACTAAAATTAATGATTGAAGTTTGTCCTTGTTGATCTACTCAATAATTTTACTATCAAGCATATCGAGAGTATCATCAACTATCACGATAAAAGAAGATGATATATGTTTAATATAGTTTATAACTCCGACGAAATTGATATTTTTAATAGTGATATTATTAAGGAAACAAGAGCAAGAGTATTTGTAAGAGTCACACAAGCCTGACATGAGAGCTTTTAGGTTACTATTTATACATAGGATTACCTTGATAAACATGCGGGCTACTTGGGTTGGAAAACTCAAAAATACAATGGTAAGGATTATGAAGTGGACAATATTATATTTAGGGGTGGACAGGTTTGGGTACCTGCCCAAATCCCATGGAACCGGAACCAGAATTTGAAACACAGGTTTTGGTTCCGATTTCAAGTACCTGGGAAAATTATGATTACTCTCTACTATTCACAAAAATGTACAAAAATTATAGTTCAATCTGATTCCTTCCCAAGTACCTGAGTCTTGGTCCGGTTTCGATTCTCGATTCCTGGTTCTTGTAGTGGTGGAACCGGAACCAGAACCACAAAATACCAGTTCTAAAAAATTAGAACCAGAATTGACCCCATGAGAGTCAATTTCGGGTAGGAACTAGAACTGGAACCTTGGGTGCTCGTGGGTTTCAATTCTGCCCTATTTTTTTGCCCACCCCTAATTATATTTGGGGAGCTTAGGTCGTTACCATTAATATTAAAGCAAAAATATGGTAAAATGATGGATGAGCCTCCCATAAGGACATATGGTTGTAAAGGGTGATTTGTGATGAGACATCCTTTCTTAGGTATATTAGAGTAAAATCATGTGTAAGAATCTTAGATTATGGATATGAAAGTTTTTAGGTTGATACTTAACACTTAGAATTCTTTTGATAACCAAGGGGCTTTTAGCCGCGATGGTGGTTGAGTCTTGCACGTCATGTGAATGTGTGATCCCTATGGCTGATAAAACAAAAATATTATACCATAGACTTATTAATTTCTTAGTATAATATTTCATTCTTTAGTTAAAAATGTGTGCTAAGTGATTAACAACCATAATTAGAAAGTAATTGGAATTTTTTTTTTTTTTTTTTTGGTGACTGGGGGTGTTGGGGTCAGCTTGCGCGCACCTCAACTAATCTCCCAGAGCTCTGAAGTTAACAGCCGGGTAAATTCTCTCAGTGGTCACCCCTATTAGCAACTCAAGTAGATCGAACTCAAGACCTCTTAAGTAATACACCTAAAAGTCCTAGTTGACTGTTGGGCCATCCAGTGGTAGTTAAGTAATGGCAATTTTTTGTTGAACATTTCATACTTAAATGTCATTTAAATATTACTCTAATTTATTGAATAGAAAATATCTTAGATGTATCTAATAGTATCCTTTTAATCTAATTAAAACTTATTTTCCAAAAGACAATGCATCACATAAGGTTAGTTTGGTGTGTAAGTATAACGGTTGACTTTAATATTTTTTTTTATTGTTTTGAGAATTTCAAGAAAATTATTCTTTTATTGTTTAACCAATATACTGATAGTCAACTATCAAAAGAGACATATACTAAATCTTATGCTGAAGCTTCAATTCCTAAAGAGCAACATGTTTTTGAATTTCAAAGAGTTGAATTTCCAAAGGTTTTGGGTTTTATATTACCCTTGAACATGATGTAGGACTATGTCTTCCGATATACACATGTTTTATTGACCAGGAAGATAACTAGTCAAAGAGTTTATATTAGAATAAGTTTATATTCTCTCAATATGGAAAAATATCGACCTAAGGTGACGATGATCATACCAAAAGCTAAAGCATTTACAACTATGAATGTAAACCCATAATCGATCAACACCATTATGGATGTCCATAAGATAGAGAGTTTGTTATATCCCACATCACTTAGTTTATAATGTTTAGGTCCACCTGATTTAGTAAACTTGTTTTTGGTGAAATACGCTTGCGTGAAACTCAAAAACATGTATGAGCTCAAAATAGATAATATCTTGATAATGGACTAGGTGTTTCTCTCTACCTGTCAAAAATTGGACATTATCTAAGTTAAGAGTATGTATGAATTCAAAACAGACAATATCTTGATAATAGACCAGACTGAGAAGAGTCTTTAGTTGTGTCACTTGGAACATCACAATCTAAGTACAATTACTTGTATAGTGATAGATGATCAAAAACCATTTCTTGTATTACTTGATGGCTATAGGTGGAGCTTTTAATAAGCATATTTGTCAATACCAAATTTACTTTATAGTTTTTAGTGTTGGTCATGATTTAAAGAACGATTAACTCTTTTTTTTTTTTTTTTTTTACCAAATTGCGTGACACCATGAGTGAAAGTAGAAGGATTGGTTATCCTCCAACTGCCATTATAGTGTACACAACCTTTCCCTAATGCCAAACATGGTTTTTTTGATTTTGCACATGAGACAAGGATGTAAATCTTGCAACAACCAAAATGAGATTGGAATGACCATATTTGTTGGTGATTTGTGATTGAGTTATAATTTGACTATGAATTTTTTACATTACAAGTCCATTTGTTTGTAGAGGACGAAACACATATCTAACAGCATGGGCAGTCGAGAAGATGAAAGACCGAATTAAAAGGGCACCAAATTTTTCAATCAACTTCTCATATTTGACATTTATTGGTATCTTACCCATGTATGTAAGTGAGACTAGTATTGTCCACTATCTTCCATTGCCCACCATAAGTTACCAAAATGCCCAAATCACCATTTGCATATTCTTTACAATGGAAAAATGTCAAAATAATAATAATTAATAATGTTGAGGAATTAATTAGCAACCTAATACACTAAACAACATAGATCTAAGCATGAAATTAACATAAGAAAGTCCAAAATGAGTATTTACAAAAATTTTGTACCCAAAAGAAAGAACATGGTACTTAAGTGAAAATCTTGTTCTCATAGCTTTAATTAATTCAACAAAGTTGTGTTAAATTATGGATGATGTTGGAGGACAGAATAAAGTTAAGATGAAGCTATATATGTCAATAGTATTCAAGTCAAAAGAAGCATTTGATTGTTTTTTAGTCCTGGGTTTTGAAGGTGGTTATTTTTTAAAAACCCCAAAAATTTGGTCAAACTTTATTACCCCTATATTAACTGTATTTATCATTAACCTCTAAAATATGGTAAATATTGTCAAGTACCTTGATTTTCATGTGCATCAATTAAAGTTTTATATTTTAGAGTCCAGTTTTTGTGTTACTATTTAAGATCTCACCTGTCACATCACCTTCTTCCACCACAGAAATCAATGAAATGTAAGAAGCTTTTATTCAATACCTAATTCATTGTCATGGTCCATGGAATTAATCGGTTTATAACTAACCTTGACAATTAATATGTTTGGAATAAAAAATATCAATCTCAAAAGTGTAAGTCTAATATTAACCTAAAACCTAAAAAACTATACCCAATTGAGGCCCTACCATGGTGCAGGAGTGATAATCTTACACTAATATTGCAGATTTTAACATTAGGAACAGTTATATATATAAAGAACCAAGGTTTGATCAATTATTGAAGAAACTGTCCCATAGCCTAAAATTATTTGAGCTTTTAGATTTGTTATTAGGAACTATTTTGTCACCCTTATTTAGGATGAGATCTCCCAGGGCGTAAATTAAATAAAACCGAAAAGATGAAAATATCACAACATCAAAACTTTTCTCTAATTCACCAAACTTGCTGCATTTACAAGATAGTTACCTCAGACTAAATGACTTGTATGAACCATGAAAAAGTATAAACAAACACACGATTGAATAATTTACATTGGATAACATGCCTCAAAAACCCAAAATTAAGAACTAAAAATTAATTGACAAATTTCCTTTCAATCCATGTTTAAGTGCTTCTATCATTTGTATTAAAGGTTGAGTAACTTGTGGCTCCAGATGACAAGTTTGGAGTATCTGGGTTGTCCGAGCTATTGTCAGGAGATGTATTCTTTGGTTCCATCTGAGTGTTTTGGGGACCTCTTACTTTGAGGTCCATGAAATCGGTGATTAGTCCCGGCTTAGTTATTTTTTTTTCATCAACCGCTTTCTCACCAGTTAACATCTTGACGACTGATGACATGGTTGGTCGGAGCTTTGGAGTGTCTTGAGTGCAGAGGAGAGCGATCTTTAGGAATCGACAAGCCTGCTCAGCGTCAAAATCCCCGTTCAATGATGCATCCACCAGTCCAACCAGTTCCCTTCGCTCATATAAATCCCATGTCTACAACAGAAGAAATCACATGTTATGAACAATGCACCATCTAAGTGTAATCTGTCATTTGCATTACTTCAAAATAATCCATCCCAACATAAATGAACACATTAATTTTCATCATAATCCTCCATAAAATATGTTTTTTTTTTTTTTCATTATTTTCTACAATGCATTGGGTCCCCTCATCATCAAGCCTAGTTATTAATATTTATATATAGAGGTCAACTTCAAGATACATATGCCATACCCTTGACTTTGAACAAGTCATATGCTTTGTCATTAATTTTACCAGGATTATTTCATAAGAACTTAAAAAGGAAATTTTCTGCGGAAAAAAGTCTCACAATGAGGTAGTACCAGGTCAATGCCCTTTTATTTTTTTTATTTTTTGGGTAAGTCAATGCCCATGCCCATTTATTGCAAACCCTGAGTATTTTTATTTCGATTATAAACACTGACCACAGCAGTAGGAGTAAAAAATTCATACCTGTTCTAAAAGATATTGTTCTTCGATTGGCAACCGCATATTTGTGTTACATCTCCCGCTGACTATTTCCACAACGAGGACACCAAAACTGTAAATATCTGCTTTCCTTGTTAATTGCCCTCTTATCGCATACTCTGGTGCCAGATAACCTCTGAAATAACAAAGCAAATGTGAATAATGATAAATAATATTTATTGAATATCATAAAGAGAGGAATAAGTTTTGATAATTTTGATCAACGTATAGAAAAGTTAAATTTCCATCATACTACTGGACTATAATATGTATATCAAACATTTCCAAACAGCTTAGATGCTATCAACAACTGTAAGATGTAATGCACAATTTCAACAAGGTAACAGGAAAGTTGGAACTTACATTGTTCCAGCCACACGAGTGCTAACGTGAGTCATGTTGGGCGGGATAAGCTTTGCGAGACCAAAATCTGAAATTTTGGGTGTCAGGTCTTTGTCAAGGAGAATATTACTTGCTTTAATATCTCTGTGAATAATGTGAGGTCGTACATCCTCGTGAAGGAATACAAGCCCTCGTGCAACCCCAATGCAAATTTTAGCTCTTGTCTGCCAATTAAATTGGATGTTACTCTGGCTATTGCCTACACCTGAAAGTGAAATGTTTCCAGAGCACTCAAGTTCAATTCAATAGAAAAGGAAATTAAGGTATGCATAGTCTAAACCCACTGAATGGGATAGAAGTCTACATAACATTATTATTTTCATACTATGATATTATGAGCTACATAACAAATGGGAAAAAGAAATATGGCACAGACGTATTCCTGAATAAAAACTGTATTTTCAAGATGCAACTACTTCATGGTATTGGTATCCAGCATTGCTTAAATAAAATAATGGTAGGAAAAAACTATATTCAGAAAGTACCGAGAAGTGTTTGTGCAAGGCTATTATTCTCAAGGAAGTTGTAGACTAAGATTCTGTGATTTCCTTCGACACAGCAGCCATAGAGCTTTACTAAGTTTTCATGCTGTATTTCTGAAATCACCTGAATCTCTGTCAAAAATTCCCTGACCCCCTGTCTTGATTCAGCTGAAAGAACTTTAATGGCAGCAATTTTCCCATCCTTAAGGCGTCCCTGACCAATAAATAAATTTTTCAGACGTCATTTCTTTGAACAAGAGGGAAAAAGGAATTTCAAAACTAAACCACAACATCGAAATGAATATGAGGTTACCTTATATACAGAACCAAAACCACCCTCTCCAATTTTGTTAGCCGGACTAAAATCTTCAGTGGCAATTCTTAATTCTTTGTAAGTGTAGAGTTTAGCATTGTGTATGCCTGAAAGTTCTGTTCACAAATAAACCTGATTAGAAGTTTGCATTGGCATGACAAAACATTTTTGAAAGTAAAACATAACAGAATGTCATTTGTTGCATGACAAAAATATCTTCGGCTAGTTTTGCAATTTACCATCATCGACTTCCAAAGACTGCTCTCTTGAAGAGTCACTCCTACCGAATAAGCAAGAAAAAAAAGGCATAACTGTATAATACACCAGTGACCAACTTATCTACTGACAGTCAAGCTGCTGCTTCAAATTAAACCACTTCCACGCCCTGAGAAATTGCATCATTGAAAACACAAATGTCAATATAGATACATAACTCTGCCAAAAAAGGACATCAAAGGAATGCAAGAAGATGTAAACTTCAAGTAATCGGCTACACCAGTTCACAGTATTAGCAAATCAGGGAATAATAACAACAAAAATCACATAAATTGTCAAGGAATTCAAGGTCACAGAAGAATAAGACTCGTTAGCACTTTCCCCAGAAAGGCTGCACCCCTTATTGTATCCATGCCAGCATCTGCCAACCTCTCTCGATCTGTAAATGTGTCTATTCTCATTGATGATGAAGGGAAAAAAACTTGACACTCACCCAATAACTGAATCGGATTAGGCGGCATATTCAACTTATATAACATATACTAAACTCCAATACCATCAACTCTTTTGACTGACCAACTTCTGCCAAGCACAGAGAGCCGAACAATAGTACAATACCAACTAATTATGCCAAAAGTATCACTAATTACCTCCAAACGTCCCCAAAAATGTCCTCCAAAAAAATGCACAATTGTGGATTTCTCAGGACGTATATTGAATCACCAAAATATTAATTTGTTAGATTCCCCAAATGATAAATTTTTTCCCCTTGCCAAACCAATGCTGACAGAAGATGCCCAGACATTGAATTCAGATATTACAACACTCAAATAAATAATCAAAGTTCATGCCTATGAAGCATTGCCCATAAGAATTCCACCAAGAAAAAACTCTAGTTGACCAAAACTTTCTTAAGTCTTTCAATTATACAAGTTTCTAAACTAGGAATTATAATTCTAGCAGTCAGAATTCATTACATATCTGAAGCCAGTCATAAGATCCGGGTCAAATACAGTGACCCGATTCCCCATACAATATGCATTCCACAGTCAAGCCGAAGCCATAGAATTCTAAACACAATCTTTGAAACATGAAATTAAATAAACCAAAAAGAAAGGAAAACCATGAAGACTCCAACTTATGGGAAATGTTCAATATACCACAAAAGCACCAAAATATCAGAACAAATAAACCATTTCACACACAAAAAACTAAAAAGAAACCAAAAGGCTCAGAAGACAGAATTAAACTACAAAAAAGTTAAGAGCAGAGAACTTGAAAAGAAAATAAATCAAACACAATTGATTCCGAAATGGATTTGATCTCATTTTGATCAAAAGTCCACCCAGGTGGTTAAAAGCTTAAAGAAAACGAAAGCAAAAAACAACAGAAAATGAGAGAAGAGAGAGAGAGAGAGAGGAGAGGAGAAGAACTGACCTGAAGAGCAGAGAGAGAAGAGGAACAAGGCAAGGGTATGATGATGATGATGAGTATGAAAGAGAAATATGAAAGAAGAGGCGAGTGAGAAAGAACAGTCTTGGTAAAGTCCACGAAGGAAGGTTACGGCTTTGGAAAATTCAATCTAAAAATAAGTTGTAATAAAAAAAAAACATAGGTGGAATGGAAGACGAGATGAGGATGAAGATGGAGAGAGAGCCAAGACTGACTGTGACTTTCAAAATCACAACTTGAATTACAAGTGCAAGTATAAATACTCCATCCTTTTTTTGGGTTATGTGAAGGAAGGAGTAAACGTCAACACAGACAACGTCATGACTCAGTCATTTGCCTTTGTTTTCCCACCTGTATAATTATAATTATGGGCCTTTTTCTATATTTATGTAGGACTGTTTTTCTTTTTTCTTTTTTTGGGATAATTGGAGTGTCTCCTTATCTAATTTTATAACACAATCGTGATATTTAATATAAAAGGTTTTAGAATCTTAATAATATTTATTTACAGGTGTATTAGATAATAAAAATTCAAGCCAATCAAAATGTATGTAGTATATTAAAAATTCGAACCAATATATAAATTCGGTTGGCTCATTTAATTAATAATTGTGTTCTAACTTGTGCTCTCTCTAAATATATCTAATTTTTTTAAATTTAGATTTAATTCACTGTCTATAAAGATAATTAAGTTTCAAATGTCATATTATTTTTAGAAAATATTAAAATAATTCTAATTAGGGTGATTTTTTTTTATATTTGTAAGGATTTGGTTATATATTTTTGGGGGTTTATGGTATTTTAGGAAATTTTTTGATTCGAGCTATCTCTTTGGAGACAATGAAATTAAATTTGTAATAAAATTCTTTTATAATGTAAGTTTGTGAGCATTTAACCTTGTTTGTTAAAGTCAAATATAAGTAACTGTTTTTTTTTTTTTTTTTTTAAAGATTCAGGTTCATGTTGAATATAATAATATATACAACGGAATATCTACAATAAATTCCGGCAGATTGTAGGCTCATTTTTTTTTTAAAGAATAATATAGAAATTATTTATTATTTACTAATATTATAATATTTAATTTTAAGAAATGGCAGATCAGATGGCCTTCCTGCCGTAACGTTACATACGATGGCGGTAAGGAATGGCCTCCCGTATTTAAATGTTACTAATTTGCTAGGTTTTGATGTTTCCTCATCCAAGATAATATATATGCTCAATTACATTTGATCCCCTAACTATCGTTAATGATTATTTACTTGATTTTGGAAACGCTCGATTCATCCCCAATGAGGTCTCTATCTATCAAAATTATAGTTTGACCAAGATTTAAAGTTAGTTAAAACTTCAATCTTTTAATTAATTTCATTGCAAAAACTCTAACCAAGTCCATCATTTATAAACTAAATTATAAAACAATTAATCTTCTTTACGAAAAAAAAAAAGAAAAAGAAAAAAAAACTCAAACGAAATTAATGAAAAAACTCCTTCCGCCCACAATATACCAAACAAACCCATTCTTCACCATAATTAAAAAATAACGTAAAAGTGTGTCATATATAATCACAAAACCTGAAAAATATCATATTTAATGCTTAGAAAATGTGACAACAAGAAGAGGAGAAGGAGAAGGTGGCGTAGCCAAGCCGTGAGGCCAAGCAACAATTGGCTAAGCCAAATCAATCGATTATCGATGCTAAAGTAATATTTTTTGTGTTTTGGTAAATTTATAATTCTTTTATGCTGGTTTTAAATAGTTTTGTGGTTGTATTTGGGAGAAATATAATAAGGTTTCATTTCTTTAAATAAGATGTAAATTGACATGATTACCTTTTAATAGTTAACTTTTAATCGTTGAGGGTAGAAAATACCCATGATAGGGATGATGTACATGTTTACAAGCCAAGGTGGGAAAGTGTTCTATCACAATATATGGGTGCCAAAATGTCATTTCGGCCCTAAAGATATAAAAAGAGTCCGTATTAGGATAGTACCTTTATTAATTGTTACTTTTTTTTTTTTTTTTTTTATTGTTGACATTATAAAATAGAAAAAAAAGAAATTTGAACCAATAGGCAATAGCGACGGCGTTTTGGTAGAATTAAACATTTTGTTACAACGTGTGAAAAGAGACCTCAAATCTAGAAGTAGAAATATTTTGACTAAGAATTTCTTCAATGGCTTGAGTCTAAGAAAGGCTGCTTGATTTGTTTATTTTTCAATTATATGTGTGAGCGTGTTCATTAATTAAACCAAATAAATGGGGCGAATTATTTCACCTTAGGTTTGGCGAAAGAATAGTTGATACCCTTAGTTTTGAAAACTATCAACTTCCACCAATTTTCAATTTCAGTTAAAAATAAGGTTAAAGGATATTTTGCCCTTTTGCACCACATTATTAGCTTCTTAAACCCTAAACCTAAGAATTAAACAACACAAATTATAATAAAAAAAAAATGCAATAAGGCCAGCCAAAGGCCATGGTGTTGCTACCACAAGGTCCTTCACCCCCATTCAATTTCCACCTTCTATTGTCATTACCCCTCCACCTCAAGCTTCTGGCGCACTTTCCCCTCACAATTTGTTTCGAGTTTGAGATTTTTTTTTTTTTTTTTTTAATTGTGAATGTAAATTATTTGGTCTATATGTTAATTGTGGTGAAAAAAGGGTGTTGTAAAACTTTTGAGATTTAGATGGTTATTTCAAGCTTGTTAGCTTTTGCGGTTAAAAAATAATCATTTAATTTATTTATTATCATAATAACTACGTATCTATAAGGGTAAAATGGGATTCAGTTGGTCAAAGTGGTCAAGGTAAATTCATTTGGGGTGTAACGTTGATGTTTTGATACTGAGGGTATCAATATTCACAAAAACCTAGGGTGGAAAATGATTCGGCCTTCAATAATAAATAAGTATTAACTTTACCGAAAATTATTAATAAGGTAGATAGGCAGCCAACCACCCCTATTTATTTGGCGTCAAGATAATCCTCTCTCTCACCTATACAAGTTTAATACTTAATACTGCAAAAAAATCAGTCAAAAGTCAAAATTGATTTAAAAGAGGCAACAAAAGTGATTTTTTTTTTTTTTTTTTTTTTTAAAGCGTTTTGTGTATTATAAAATAGAGAGTGGTGGGATAAAGCTAAAGTGCTTGGTGTAGATATAATTAATTTAATGTAATTTTTAAAATATTTTTTTTTCTTTTATAATTTCCTTGTTGTAGGGACATTTTTGGCATTAATAATTATAAGTCATTACATGATTTTTATTATCAACTAAGCTATTGTGGGGGGAAATTTTTAAATAATGAAGCATAATTCGTACTTCTTAAATTAATAGTATGTTGTAGAAATAAGTTAATTTATATTCCATGAAGTTCGTTTTTTAATTGTGGTGCTTTTGAAAAGTTACATATATAGTGAAGTAGACATTATGATAAAAGGATAGGGAAAAAGGTAAGGGAATTTTTATAATTGCTTTAGAATCTCACATTTCACGTTCATCTCATGTGTACAATGGAGCGCATGTGCAGCTATTTGTAGCACGTTCAGCCGCCACTTGGACCAATTGATACATTAATAGATGAGTAAATGACTTTTTTCACCAAGATTTACTTAATAATTTTTTCACCCAAAAGTTCCAAAATATCGCTTTCCTAGCCAAGTTTATATTCTATTAATACTCAAAAAACACGCATTTTCTCAGTCGGCGTTCAACGAGTTACCAAGAACCAAGATAAAAGAGGTTTTGTAGAGTGGATGCCGAGTGTATGAATAGTGGTAACTGATGAATATCACCACCGAAATCAGTCAAAACAGCTAAAAATAAGAAACACTAGATTTGTGATGGTGACAATTGGCAAGAATCAAGTGTTAGAGATAGAAGGGTTGTAGAGAGGAGATCGGAGGTTCAAATGGTGATGACGAAAGAATTTCACCCAGAATCAGCTTCGGTATAAGAAATATAAACTTTGGTGGAAAAATGGTATTTGAAAACATTTGGTGGAAAAGTGTTACTAAGGCAACCTTAGTGGGAAAAGGTTGTTTGTTTACTCTTAATAGAAAGATTCATATATGTAATTGTAGAAAGAAAATGTAGTAGTACTGAACGTGTTTAAACTATCTCGTTAAAAACCTTGTCAATTAAAATTTAATGGATAAAAATGGGTCAAAAGAAAAAGAGTACAATGGTCTTTTCTAAAAGATATGCTCTCTTAATGAATGTTTTTTCCCTATCATAGTGGAAAATCGAAAGAAAGTTTGTTTATTTAGCCGCCGCATTATTTATGCCGTATATACATTTATATTTTTCCAAAGTTGATGTTGATAACATTTTTTGTGAATAAATTTGTATAATTATAGTTGGAGCATATTTGTTTGACCAATGGCCGTCCGAGAAATTACGTAAGAGGGACATCATGAGAATCTTAATAAATAACATTTTATATATAACAATTATTTTTTGAGTAAATGATATATTCCCACTCGAGGTATAGCCAAACCCCGATTGATGCCTTTGATTGCATTTATTATAGATTATCACCATCAAACAACACAGTTAGTGACTGTTAGAGGTGGTCGAAAACAGTAAATGAGATCAGCAAGTGAAAGTATGGGTTTTATAAAGAGATTGTGAAAAGTTTAATGGTGATCTTGGAAGTGATTTTAGACTTCATTATCGGTCGAAAAAATGCCAAAAACTGTCGGTTTGAATGTTGCTAACTTGAGCCACTTTTTGCTAACATGAGTCCTTCTTGGCCAAAGAAAGTGCACCACACTATAATGAAAAGTTAAGAATCTGTTAAAATAAAAGAGACGACGTTACTTTAAAGATTAAAATCTATAATAAATACAATTGAGGGTATCAACTTGGGATTTCGCAAACTTCGGGTGAGAGTTTGTCGTTTGCTCTTATTCTTTTATCAATGTTATAAAAATCATATATAAAAATTTATACTTACAAAATTTAATTCTTCAATTTTTTTATAGTCATTATTAAGATATCAATAATTAATAAAAGATTTTATATATGACTATTACTAACGAAAAAATATAACATAAAGACAAAATTTATCACATGGATGTTACTCTTTTTTAGTCTTAAAGTCTTTGACGGTAACTTGTGAATGTAAAAAAAAAAAAAAAAAAAAAAAAAATAATAATTGCTTTATCCTAAAGTATGAAATATTAATAAAAATCTCCCAAAGGTATTAGTTATATGAAATAATATAAATCTCTAGTCGTTAAATTTTAAGTATTAAAATAAATGATATAAAAATAATTTAGTAATATTTACTAACTCATAACAATATAAATTTAGATGAAAGCTCAACATAGTTAATGTTACTATGTCTTGCAAGATTTACCAATAAACCAAAAGTATGAAAAACATTTCTTTATTTCAATATAAGGATAAAATTAGGAGTGTGCAAAACCCACCCGAACCGGACCAAACTGAACCGAGCGGGTATGTGAATGTGATTTCTTATGGGTTTATGTAAACCCGATAAAATCCGAACCAAACCGAAATATTTTTTATATATAATATTTTTAAATTAAGATGTCAAGATTATAAAGAAAGTCAGAGTCTTGTCTTGGTTGAAGAAACTTTCTTTTCATATCAAACAAATTAGTATTCGTACATTATTGTAAGCACTTTAACCAAACTTCATATAAAAAGACAAATAGATTTAGACAGATTATAGTTGAAATTCTTTTTTTTTTCACACATTTCTTCCAAAATTTAATGTAATTATAAAATAATTCTCATTGAATCTAAGCAGCTTTTTATTTTTTAATTTTCATGTTTTAGGGACATTGCTTTTCGGCCCATTAAATAAATATAAGTTACATTAAATGATTTTTTATTTTTTAATTATCTAAGCCATTTGGTGGGGGACAGTTTTTGAACAATTGAAGTCTAATTGTTTTAGCTTCTAAATTAATACTATGTTGTAGAAATAAAATAAGTTATATTATTTTCGATGAAGTTTATTTTTTTAAATTTACTTTAAATATTTTGATTGTTGTAGGCAAAATGGACAACAATTGATAAAACTGTATTTCAGAAATTATTTTTTGTAATTACTAAACTGTATTTTAAATTTAGCAATTTAAGAAATATATTTTAAAAAAAAAATTGAAAAGCATTAGTTGTTGTATACATTGGCACTATTGAATAGTTCATCAAATGACTATTATGAAAGGTGGAGATAATTTATATTAAAAATAAACTAGGCCTATTTTACATTATCTTAATTACATTTAAAATGATTTGAGAACCCATGATTTTCTCATATTAATAAACGAGGTTTCACTATTACTTACAAAAATTTATAACATTACGATAAACTTCATAAAAAAAGAAAAAAGAAAAAAAAAAAGATAGCAATTGCACATGTAATTATCCAAGTATATAATGATAAATTTACATGTGCTTCTTACAATGTGTTTATTTTTTTACTCAACTCTGAAAGGATATTAGTGTCATTTAATTCTTAATAGTTTTAAGATATATGATACTCCCTCCATTTCTTTATAATTGACGTTTTAAGGGTATTAACTTTTTTCAAAATAAATGACGTTACCAACTCAACCCTCTCTCTGTTGCTCAACATTTGCCCCTATCTTTTCTCTTCTACTATTTCTCTGACCCACATCTCCTTTCTCTCTTTCTTTACTCTGCCCCTCATCTCATCTCTCCACTTTTTCTATGGCCCACATCTCCTCTCTCTCTTTCTCTATCTCTTTCCCTCGTCTCCTCTCTTCCACATTTTCTATCGCCCACATCTCCTCTCTCTCTTTCTCTATCTCCGCCCCTCATCTCCTTTCTCTCTTTCTCTTTCAAACACAGGTGAAGAACGTGAGAATATTCATGATGTGAAACAGAGTAGCCCTTTGAGAGCAACGCATGCAAATCAATCCTTTTGGAAGGAGAGAGTTTCAATTGATACTGTTACGCGCCCTTTTGAACCAGAGGAGTTAAATAAGAAAATTCCTTCCTTGATTACTAAGGTTGTAGAACCTACAAAAAGGAAGGAAGAACTCTTTCAATTGAAAGCACGTATGCTATGATCTCTTGTGTACTCTTTAGCCTCTCCTTTTTTTTTTTTTTTTTTTTTAAGATAAAATTGCATTTTTTGTTTAGGTTATCGAGATTTTCAATCGCAAAGTGGTTGCCCTTGCTCAATTTGTGTGTCAGACCTTGATGCTGTGACTCTAGCATTACTCAATCTAGCAGTCCGGAAGACGGTTGAGTGGTAGGTATTTCTTCCTTGCTTTGATAGCATTTAATTGCCTTGCCTCCACTATTTTGTGCTTTGTTTGATTGTGAAGTAAAATATGCGCAACAAAGAAAAAAAAAATGTTATGGTTGACTATGGTTGATGTTGTTGCGCTATTGTGTTCTATAAATTGAGGTTCTGTAAATACATTAGGTTGTAAATGTGGTGGAGATTATGAGTTGTAAACTTTCGAATGAAGAATTAGAACAAATGAGGATATGGGTGCCTTTATCATGTAAGTGGCTTTTTTGTGTTTTCTTAAGGTTATTATTGTTAAAATTGATAATGGTACATTATTGCATGACTCATTTGACTTTTTAATTTATGAATGATTAGGTTTTGAAGATAATCACAACATCAACAATGAGGCCAAATTAATTGACACTGAAGGCAGTATAAGCATTGCAAATCAATCTGGAATGGTGGATATCAATAGTGGAGGTTTTATTTGATTTTTTCTTTGGTCGATGTCAATACACTTTTTTTTTTCTTTCATCAATTCAGTTAATTAGTTACAATATTTTCTCTTATATAGTACATGTTGCAAAAAAAAAATGTAGAAGGTGCATCAAGATCGATTGTCAAAATTGAAATTTATGGAGTTTGGAATAACTAGGAAAAATCAACAGTGGGTATTGTAATGCATGATACACGTTGTGGAAATTTAACTCTACTGGAATAGTATGTGTCAGCTTCTAACACACTACATGCAGAATATCTTTCCTTATATCATGGACTGTGTGTAGCTTGTGAAAATGGCGTTAAAGAAGTCAAATGTTTGTCCTACTCTCAAAAGCTAATTGACATCCTTAATAGGAATGATGAACAAAAATGTGTATTGGGTGATTTGCTTGATTCATTTACATATGTCGAAGTCTATAAAGTGCCTATTAGTGTGGATATGTTCGCTTATGTCATGGCTCGCATGGCTGCTAGGAGATGATTGGGCCTTGTACTCCTTGGTGAGAGTGATTGTTGAGTGTTTTAGTTTTTCTCAGTTGGTTGCTGCTTTTTATTTGGGTTTTGGCTCAATTTTTGTGACTTTTGCCTATGTTCTGTTTTAGCCTATGCTGCAGGGCCTTTGGTGTTGAGAAGGGCATGTGGCTGCCCCAAGTTGTAGGCCATGGATTTGGTTACAAAACCTTCTTTGTTGGAGTTTCCATTCTTGCCAGGAGGTGCTGCTTGCTTTCTCCTGTCCTTGGGTGTGTGCTTTGCAAGAGTTTTGCTATGGTGAGTCTTGGTTTTTCTGCTAGTTGGGGATTGAAGCTTTTGCTAGATTTCCTCGAGGGTGGCTGGAGTTTTGAGACTTTTTGGCTATGGACCTCTATGTGTGGACTTTGCAGTTTGCTTTGTGCCCAGACGACTTGCTTTTTCATTGCTGACCTTTTTTGTCTAGTATTTCTTAGACTAACTACATGTTTTGTTAAGACTTTAATCCTTGCTTTTTTTTTTTTTTTTTTTTGGTTGTTGTTGTTGTTCTTGCTTTGGTTTCTTGGGCTTGTCCAAGGACCATGACTTTGTAGGGTCCTTTGGTTGGGACTCATTCTTTTGTTCTTATATATTACCATAAATTACCATAACAAAAGTTTATATTACAAAATAGAACAAGTTCTTTTCTTGTATGTTAGAGTAGATTTTCTTTATAGCAAAAAACCACAGAAATCAAAATGAAACACAAACTACTCTTAAAAAACAATATATTATCAGAACCCATATGAACATTATAGATAAAACAAAAATAATCTACAATACTAGATAGGTCAATTGTAACACTTATTGACATTGAGCAATTGCTTCTCCAATTAACGTGGGGTCAACATCTAATTGCCTAGGAAGGCAATTATGTCCGTCCAACCTATGTTTTTTCATGTGCGGAACCTTATATTTGTTCGAACCTTCGGTTTTCAAAATTGAAATCATACATGACTGTAAAGTCAAAAACACATGATTCAATTTTGTTGGTGAGTATTCATCAAAGGACTTTTGAACAACCTTTATGAGCGCATCTACAGAGTTGGGCACCTATTGGTATTGTAGTCCCTGTATCACATTAACAAAGCCAAGGTCTAGAACATTTATATTTGGAGAATTCGGAGGCTGACAGATCAAACGTATGTCGAAGCCATCCTTAGTAACATTACTTTGAAAACACTCATCATCCAAACCAATATGAGGTTTCGCATTGTCTTGTTGGATAAATATTGGACTTCTTGCATCAATTCTTGGCCACTTATCTCGGATAGCAGACAAGAGTTTCCCAACTATGTAAGATCGGTAAATTTCTTTATTGATAGAATTGATTTTTTTAGTCAGAATGATTTTTACTGCTCCTCCTTACAACTTCTTTATTTATGAAAGGAAATATCCCGATTTTTTCAGAAAATAATTCATTCACTGATTCATCAAACCTTGGGCATGTCACTGTAGCCATAAACATTACTTTAGTAATAAAAGTCTTACTTTTACATGTGCGTAAAGACTCGTCTTTGTCAGGAAGTAGGTAATACTTCTCTGACTGCTTTGTCATGTAGAACCACTTCTCATCAACATGAATAATATTTTCCATGGTTACAAACCTCAAACAACTGGGGTTGTTGCCTTGTTCAATCATCGATAAACAAAAGCGTATTCTAGCTTTCATGTTTTCTACGTTTAATACAAGTCTTATAACATTTGAATGACGACGTATGGAGCCCTCTTTTAACCACCTAAACAACGTTGTCATTGACAAATTTGTTGTAGCAGATAAAGACCTCAGTGTCGTTATTCTTCCAATGGAATATGTCAAAATTGATTGACGTCAATTTGAAGACGCTTGCACCCGCAATTGAGTGCCTTTCTACTAGACACATTAGTGTTTGAATCCAATACTTCATTTTCTTTTCCTCGTTGCCAAATGCATTGGACTGTATGCATACTAACTGAAAATAATTGAGCCTCCTCGATGTAGTGTTTTTCTTCAATTGTCCATTGACACTTCGCTTCAATAAAGATTCAAAAATAGTTTGTCTTTGTTCATTTGTGAGGTTTTTTCGACTCACATGCGTATTAACTTCCTCAATTATGTCATCAACTTCATTCGTAGCTTCTAATGTTGGAAGAACATTCAAATCAATTTCCCCAAGCATACTTCTACTATTACCTTGTTCGGCCGTGGTGAGTGACGAATAGAATAAGAGAGATGAAAGTTAGTAAAAAGAGACGGTCATGGTGAGTGACGAACAGAATAAAAGAAATGGAAGTAAGTCAGTAGGAGAGAGAAAATGACGATATATACATATTAAATTATTTTAGTATTTCACACATGTGTACGTAGTAGGAAAAACAAAATTTTCCCATCTACAATATCAGAGGAAGAAGTCAGTTAGAGGAGAGATAAAATTGATTTATTAAAAAGTCTGCAGAGCCTTAAAACGTCAATTATAAAGAAATGGAGGGGGTATATGATATGGGATGTGTTTGTTTTTTAAATTAATGATGTTTAAATAAAAATTTCCTATTTTTATCTATTACTAATCTATCCTTATATTAATTGTAGTAATTATACCCATAATTATATTATTAAATTATAATTTATTATTGTATATTAATATCCAAATATGTTAAACTAGAAATTGGTGAATGGGTCATTAGAATGCATTTGCCAGCCGTCGAACTCCAATGACCAAAAATTTTTCAGCGTGTAATAGTCACAAAATAGACATCAATATGATATTCTTTTAATGATCTATCTATCTACATAATTTTAAGTTGAAAAATTATGGCGTTTGGCCCAGAACAAATGAAAGTGTGATCACTATCATATGCCAGACAATTGGTGTGTTTATTACTAAAATTAATTGTAGATATAGATAGAGCGTATAAAGAGGATATTTTGATACTAATATTGTCACCTAAGACTAAAAAATGTTCAAGCCATTGAAGTCTGGCGACCCATACTAGAGTGACCTAGGAGCTCAGCTCGACCACTATGTCGAGTTGAGTTTGAAGTCGCCAGATTTCAACTGGACGAGCTCAAAAAGCTTGATTGTAAAAGTGTAAAAGCAGATAATTCGAGAGTTTATTTATTTTTTTATTTTTTTGAGCTCAAGCTCGAGCTGAAAATTTTAGCGTTGAGCTCTAACTCGTAATAGGTTCCACCTAATAAATTACTGCTGACCAATTAAAAGCTGTCACATCAGTGTTGTGAGATAAAATTTGTGAGCATAGTATTATTTTTTTACATATCCTCGTAAGTTTAACAACTTAAATATTATTTCTGATCTTATCAAATTTTAACTTACAAACAAAAATACATTTTTAACCCAAAAAAATTCAATTTTTTTTTTCCATTTTACCCAATATACCATACCAAAATTTCTCATTCACCACCAAACAAACTAAACCCAGTTTTTCTCACTCGGCGATCCAAGGGTGGACGGAGAGGGAGGCTCACCTTGCCCGCAACACGGGTAAAATTTGGGAATTTTTTTAATATAATATTTTAATTTATAAGTAGTTTATTATATTTTATTTAACATAATTTAATTTTATAAAGCAAAAAGTCTCTTAATTCTAGTAAATTATTTTACTTTCCAACTCTTTAAACACTTTTTATTAAAGATAAATAGTTATCAAAATATATTGCATTTAAAAAAGAAAAAAGGAAAGGTTTAGAGATATTATAGTTGAAATTCAGCCTCTATACCATTTTTTTTAATAATTATTTCCACACACTTTTTTTTTTTTTTTTTTTTCCAAAATTACAAACTAAAACAAATTTATTCATCTTCTCAATTAACAATATTAAAATAAATTTAATTAATCGTATGAATACAATATAACCGTGTACCTATTCAGACTATCGTAAATTCCCCTTAACCATATGGATTAGATGAGTTATAAATTCCTTATATCATTAACATTAGTAATATATTTTATGTATAATTAAAAGAAATTCAATCCTTCCAAATTTTTTTTTTGGGTTTAACCATTGCACCAATTATAGATGCAAAAAATCTACCGTTATGGAAATAAGTTCTGATCCCGTGAGGTTGAGGCCACCAACAATCTGTTACACTTACGCACATAAGAAAACAAGCTTACGGAAAGCATCGGAGTGATGTTTGCCGTAGGCACTCCGACACTCAAGTCAGCAAGGCTGGGTGAGACTAATTTAGAGAGAGTTACCAAAAATTTAGTCGGAGACAAAGGCTATGGCAGCGAAGTAAAGCTCTCGAGAGTGAGAAGTGCGAGGTTAGAAGGCGTAATGTTCCGTCCCTTGTGAGAGGGCCGACCTCTGTTTAAATAGTAGCTGTAAGATCTTTGAGTCCTTTGGGGGTTGAGGTTTAGTGAATAGGAAGGCCTTTGATTCCTTCACCTTAGTTGGAGAGGGAGCCCTAGTTGGTCTAAGATATAGATCTTAGACGAATTAGGATAGTAATAGATTTCTTCGGTAGAATCCGAACAGTACCAAAATAAGAAGTAGACAACATTGGGGTCTAAGTAAACCTTAGGTCCAAGGTGATCTTGGATCAAAGGGCCTGAGCCCAGACAAGTTGATGATGAGGCCTAAACGAATTGGGGCCTTTACTGATTGAGCTCAAGTAGTGAGCAACATAGTAGGTGTACTGAGTGGACCTAATATGCGAACTCTGTCGCGAGCCTAATCGGAATTAGGCCATGACTCCGAGCTTTGTTGAAGATGTCTTCGTCTTTGGGTCTATTGGTAGGGGTGGGATAATCCGGTTAACCGAACCGGATAGGGTAAACCAAAAACCGAATCGATTATTCGATTTAGGAAAAATGTAAACTGAAACCGGACCGGTTTATAGAATAAACCGAATATTCGGTTTGGTTAACCGATCTTCAAATCGATTTTCAAATTCATGTGAACAAAATTGATAGGAAAATGGTCCTTAGCGAAACCGAAAACTGATGGCAAAAACACCTCAAATTTCGTAGAGATAATATAAAAAAAGGACCCTGCTAGACCAGAATTACCTTTTACTCAACATAATATGGTGATAAAGTATTAGATTTACCACAACCTAACAAAGTAAAGTGTTTGAATAATTCATTGTATTAAAGCCTCTAAAAATTAAAAGCATCCATCAAAATATTCATCAGATCTCTTGCTGAATTAGAAGATGCATTAGGTTGTTGAATCGACAGTGGACTATTGATCGTGGAGCAAGTGAGCAGCTGAGGATTGAAGATCTGAATGGCGGAGGAAACTGGAACCGTGGTCGACTGTTGTAAATGTTCCTGGTTTAAGGAACTGCAGCACAACAGCTGTGGTCATCGCTGGGTGGGTGGGTGGTTGTCGACGAAATGGCGTTGGTGATATTGCAGATGGATGGGTTTGGAGTTTCAATTTGATGGTGGGTGTGGGTGGCGCTGGTGAAGATGGAGTCTAGAGAATGGAGTGGAGGCGGAGAAGAGAATAAGAGATATTGAAAAGTGAAGATGGGGTCTGGAGAGTAGAGTGGAGGCGGAGAAAATAGGAAGAGATATTGAAAAAAAAAGGGCAAAACAATTAAAACATATTTTATTTATATACATAGGGTGAAACCGGTTTTGAAAACTGGTTTCGGTTAACCGGTTTGGGAGATTCTCAAACCGAACTGGTTAAAAAAACCTAATTTTTGGTTCGGTTTCGGATCAGTTTTCGGATTATTTCTCTCACCCCATCTCTTAAGGCCGAGGACATTTTTTGGCCCTAACACCAATCAAATTGAAAATAGCACAAATCAAAAACAAAGTTTTCGAATAAAAACCAGTGGACAGGATTCAGTCTAGCATTAAACAATTGGGAGTTCCGAAACGGCCTTTTGGCTGCCAGTGGAGGCTAGAGGCAGCTATAGGAGCACCAAATATAAGATAAAGAAAAAGGCGAAGACGGGAATTCTTATTTTTTAATTTTACAAAAAGATAATAAAATCAATAATACCTTATTGGAAAATTAAAATATCATTAATACTTAGTCATTAGTTAAAAACTAATGTAATAACTAATGAATGTTAAGGTCTAATTTCTTAAACATGCAATCGATTTAATAGCAATTTGCTCACATTGAAAAAATAATATACTACTTTTTAAAATTATCATAAAAATATGTATATATAAAATAATATTTTAATAAAATTAATTAAAAAGTAATGTTAGGTCATGTATTTATTTTTTTTATAAGATTTTATATATCTCTAATATATACTCTAAAAAGAAACTAATGATGATTTAATAACTTAATTAAGTGCGATCAAGGAGGTTTGTTCTCTTATTTATATTTTGGATTCAAACTTTAGGGTTATTTATCACATTGTGACTTACTTATTCTTTTGGACTTGTAAAATGTTTAAAAAATCTCAGAGATTAATTTTTTTGGATTTATTGAGTGTTCAAAGAATCTTAGAAATTAATTAAGATACGTACAAATTGGCCGTACCCTTCAATTACCCAAAAAAAAAAAAAAAAAACTTAATTAAGTAACTTTTGGATTCCACCACTTTAGAGTTATTTATCCATGTGACGTACTATCGGTTGGACTTGTAAATGTTTAAAAAATCTCAGAGATTATTTTTTTGGATTTATGGAGTGTTCAAGAATCTATAAATTATTAAGATACGTACAATTGTCCGAACCCTTCAATTACCCCCCCCCAAAAAAAAAACTTATAATAACTTTTCTTTTGCTCTTTTAAATGTTAGGCGGCCACGGTAAATGAAGAACGTGTGCATTTACTAAAGCCATGAATGCGTCACTACTCACAACTTTTAGGTGCGTTAGTATTTATTATTTTGGATAGGATTTTGGGAATACTATTGGGTAGTTGGATAGGGGAGATTACGAGGTAAATTTAAATTTTTTTGAAAGCCCCTAGGTTTGCTAATTTATTAAACACCCTAATGTATAATGACAAAACACCCCCACCACCTGACAGTGCCATTCCCACCACCCACGGAATATGGCCGAAAAATTGCGTTACAACACAGACCGTCGATTTGTGTCGAACCGCGTTGTTATGGTATTTCGGCAGATCCACGGCCCTACCGTGGCCTCGAAGGCCGGAAAAGGCCAAAATAGCCAAGATATGGCCAGGTTTCGGTCAACGATGGTCAAATTTGGCCGTTGTCACGGCCAGATCTGCATTTTTCGACCAAATCCGTGGTGATGCTGGCCCGAAAAAGACCAGATCAGTGAACTTTCGGCCATTTTTTGGTCGGCAGTAGGCCGTGTACAGATCCGTCTACCATCCGACGGGGTTGGCCTGAATTTTTTAATATAGTCGTTAGGTGTTTTTGCTTTTTTAAACTTTTTTTTTATAGCGGATATTTAATAAAATTAATAACCTTATGAGGTATAAAAATAATTAAAAAATAAGGTAATATTTATTATTTGGAGAATAAAATTAGAAATATGGGTAAAAATAGTAAGTCAAACATGCCCTTAGATTTTACTCAAATTTAATAAATAATTAAAAAATAAAAAGAAATCTTCACTCAAGTTCAGACTTCAGAGTAGCTCAACTCTCTGGCGACTCGCCGCGTCGTGCCGTTGTTTGCTTCTCTAAACAGAGCCATGAAGGTTGCGGTGGTGGGAAGCGGAAGTGAGTTTTATCTTTTGTATTCTTCTTGTTTTCTGTTTGGATAGAATTTCATAAAAATCAGATTAGGAATTATAATGAATTTGAAAATTGTGCAGTTTCAGGAGCTGTTTGTGCCTCAACTCTTGCTAAGAATGGCGTCCCCGTTACTCTCTTCGACTCCGCTCGAGGACCTGGTGGCCGCATGTCTCAGAGAAGGTTGCATTTCTCTCTCTTTGTAATTTTACAAATGCAAATTTTGTGAAAATTATTATAATTCACTGAAAGTACTTCTATTGAAATTTCATGAAACAATTTAAGCCTAATACAAGGGAGGTGGATAACGCTTATTGATCGATAAATGAATGTTCAATTTGCGCTTTTGTTATGTGTATTATTAAATTATGAGTGACATATTCTTTTCTCCATCATAAATTTATAAACATCAAAATTTTATTGTGCATTTATCTCACGGTGAGCTGCTAGATACGCAACGGCTATTTTTTTTTTAAAGAATTTTATTTATGGAATTTCCAGGTTTTGAAGTTAAGTTAGAAGAATTTCATTGTGCATATCGGTAGAAATTTTATTTTATTTTTTGTTGTTGACAAATTATTAGGACAAAGAGGTTTTACACATATGATGGTTTGTTCAAATAGAGAAATTTCTGAAGATGGGAAGGAACTGTTGTTCGACCATGGTGCTCCTTATTTTACTGTTAGCAATCCTGATGTGTTGGAACTTGTTCGTGAATGGGAATCAGTAGGTCTTGTTGCTGAATGGAAAGTGAATTTCAGTTCTTTTGATTGTGTCTTCAACAAATTTGTTGATATACAACAGGTTTGTGATCATTCCTTGCGTATGTATAGTTGCACACGATTGTATATGTTTGGCAGGCATATTTATTTTTTGGTAAGTTTTTTTTTTTTGGTAAGTAAAACTTAAGATTTGGCAGGCATATTTGCTTACACTTGGCTTATTTTTTTAGTTTTATGTTGTGCTGTCATGGAAGTTTTAGTTCACTTGAAGGGATCTATTTGCATGGTAGCATTAGTTGGTTCTCCGGTCAATTATGTTATATGGGTATGTTTTTTGTACTCTGGTCCCCTTTTGAGTAAATATTATATCTATCTTAAACTTGGGACTCAAGTTTATATAAAATATATGTCCCCTGACATGCTACTTCTTGTAATTCTTAGACGTAGGCACATAAACAATTTTTCCATTAGTATGACAAAATCTTCTGAAGAATCCAACTATTCCGGCACATCGAATTTGTTTTGTTTAGATACTATAGATTGTCATTTTGCATATAGTTCTGTATAAGAATGTGATAACAATCAAATGAACAAAGTCAGAATGAATCTGATATTTATAAAGGTACTTCTCTTCAACTAAGATATTCTTTCTTCCGTTATTTATAACCAGGGGCGGATCCAGCCTAGTTCATGGCCCACTTCAATTTTTTTTTTTTTTAAATACTAATATGTATAATTTCTGGATTTTGGTCCATCTTAACAAAAATATTAATGGACAAAAATATTAATGTGCAATTAGTCTTTATTTTGGTCCACCCTAACACAAATTTCTGGATCCGCTACTGTTTATAGCCTACACTGTAGCCATGCATCTTGCAATATATGACAAATATCTAAATTATAGTTTAACCACACTAATTGAAGAAAGTATAGTGGTATCTTATTGATGTCGCTGTAGTTTTCTTGGTGCATTAGAATTATTTATGAATATGCTCCAAAAATGCTGAAATTGGATGCACTATTGTAACTAAAAATAAAAAATAAAAAATAATGGCATATAGACATATTTCTCATTTAATATTTTAATTATATTTAGGTTGGAATAAGCAAGAAATATGTGGGTGTGCCAGGCATGAACTCGATTTGTCGAGCCTTATGCCGTCAGCCTGGTAAGTAGTAGTGCTACCTTTTTTTCTTGATTATATTTACATTCAAGTGTATATATAAATTTAAATTAGTTGCCTAATCTTTTACTGTATCAAATTTACCCAGGAGTGGAAAGTAAGTTTGGCGTAGGTGTTGGAAGATTGGACTGGTTGGATGAGAAGAATTTGTGGTCAGTGATGGGGTTGGATGGACAAAGTCTTGGTAATTTTGAGGGAGTGGTTGCATCGGACAAAAATGTGGTTTCAGCAAGGTTTAGAGATGTAACAGGAAAACCACCTCCTCTTGGTATAATGATTTTTCCTTCTCTCTCTCTTTCCCTGTCTCTCTTTCTCTTGCTCGTGTGAATATGTCATGTAGAGTTGTGCTGGTAGCATAGATACCGTTTTTCTTCATGACACCAAGTTTCCTTGTTAGATGTATTGAATTGTAACTAGAGAGAAATAGCTACTGTCAATCGTCCATAAAGCAGTACTTGTTATGTAATTATACATCTATTGAACATTAAGCAGCTTTATGACAGCCTGAAATAGCCAATTCTTGTTTTCAGTATCATTAATGCTGCTCAAGCGGATACTGATCTTCAACTGAGCAAGTGTATGAGTTGCTAAAGCCAGACCATAGATCTTGGACTCCCTGTTAAGTATCCCCAGTTTTAAGCAAACAATAAAGTAGAAATCCTCATGAGTCCCTAGTCAATCTTTTCTCATTCTCTCATTCTTCTTCTTGTAGCTTTTAACAATGCTTTGGTTATGACCAGTGGGAAGGAAATTCTCTTGATTGCTAAAAGGAGCTAAAAGTTTGGGTTTCTACTATAGACTGATTCATTGGTGGTGGCCATTGTCACCAGCTCATATCCAGCTAAAGTATAGTTGTCATTCGTATGCTGCCAAGTATAGCACTATAGGAATAACCTTTGTGTTTGCACTTCTTCTCTAGTCTTTCTCCTGTTGGCATCATGAGCTAGTCTTCAGCTGTCCAAGTCTTCAACTGCAGGCATGTAATTCTGGTGTATACACTTTATTTTATCTACTGTTCTTTCCTGTTAGAATCATGAGGTAGTCTATAGTTGCCAATATTATACTGTCAAGTGTTGCCATAACTTCTTCTTTTCTACTCTACCTTCTGTTAGCATCATGATCCTGTTAATAATGTTTCTTGATGCTTTATTCTTCTTCTTCTTCTTCTTCCTCTTCTTAAGTGAGTTTCTATGTTCCACCTCCAACTGGATCATGTTTGTTCATTTAAGCTGATGACAATATATCTAACCCATCATCAGGAGTTAGCCATTCATCTCAAACTATGAATTTGCCTTTTTAAGAAACTGTCATTCAAAATTATGGCAAAGAATCATTCGCCACTTATGCCTCTTTTACAGAGTTGAAATCCATGATATAGAGCAAGTAGATATCGTGTTGCATTTTGTATAGCAATCATTTGTTCAATTCATATGGAATATGAGATAAAATTTTTACAAATAGTTAGAATTAATTAAATGGATAGTTTTGTTTCTTTAAGTTTAAAGCAACCTTAGTGTATTTTTGCAATTTACTTTGTCAACAATACTATATTCCAGTTAGAAGTTCTCTACCTCTATTTCACTGTTTCTTTTGATGCCATTTTTGCGGTGGTACTTTTGGCAAACAATGGCATGACTTCTAGTTTTTGCATGAATCATATCACTGGTCATTATTTCACTTTGATGGAAATGGATTTGATTTTCTGTTTATTTATTTTGATACAGATTTGACTTTTGCCCCAGAGTTGGTTGCAAAGTTGGAAGATATCCCTGTCAATCCTTGTTTTGCTCTAATGCTGGCATTTGCTGAGCCTTTGTCTTCGGTAGGACATTAATTATGCGTCTCTAAGCTAGGTACTCTAGAGTTTCAAATTCTCACCAGCTTCTCAATATTAACATGGTTTGCAAACTGCTTATTACAACCTTTCTTCTTCCTTGGCTGTAGGGATGCTTGATTTCTACGTAATGCTTTTGTACATCCTTGCTATAATATATTTTCTCCTAACTTAAATTGTTTGAGAGGTTTATACGGGGTGGCTCTTGGCTTCTGATTTATGGTAATATCTTTATTCAGAATCCAGTAAAAGGGTTCTCATTCCAGAATTCCAAAATTTTGAGCTGGGCCCATTGTGACAGCAGCAAGCCTGGGCGTTCTGCCACAAGGTATATATGTATTTTATGTTGCATTACAAGTGAACTAATTGGGAGTATGATCAAATTTCTGTGCTACTTTTATTTACTTATTTTCACTAGTATACAATTGTACTGTATAGTGAACGATGGGTATTACATTCGACAGCTGAGTATGCTAAAAGTGTAATTGCTCAAACTGGACTTCAAAAGCCTTCAGATGAGACATTGACGAAAGTGGCTGAAGAAATGTTCCAAGAATTTCACGGCGTAGGTCTCAGTATTTCACTGCCAGTTTTCAGAAAAGCTCATAGATGGTCAGTATCCAAATTCAATACCTGAACTGTCAAGCATATTTAGGCTCATCACATTTGTGCAAAATTTGACCTGTTAGACCTGGACGTTTTACTAAAAATTGTAAAAAATATCTAAAACATCTTTAGAAAGTAAAAACTAGCCACACATTAATGCTCTTTTGTTTAGTGCTGAAACTAGGATTGGATTCCATTGTTTTATGCTAAGTAACATTCTAAAACGTCTGAAACTTGCATATATATTAATGTTGTAATGTGAAAATATGTTTTCAATATGAAGTGCAGATTGTCACCAAGCATCAAAATTGAGTGAAATATCTTTTCCTTTCACATGAAAAAGATTTTATGTGTACATTTTACTACAAGTTACTTAAGAACAAATGAAGCCATAGTTCTCCAATACAAAATACATATGATCACTTTTTTGAGATTGCATTAGAAAAAATAGCCTCTCTCTTTCTAATTCCAAATTTATATTTTGCATTATACGTCGTCTGTTGTTGTCTAATCGCATTTTGTTGCCATCGAACTATATTTATCAATTGGCGTTTTTTGTCCAGGGGAAGTGCCTTTCCAGCTACAAGCGTAGCCAAAGAGGAGAAATGCCTCTGGGATAGAAACAAGAGACTAGCCATCTGTGGAGATTTCTGCGTTGGTCCTAACGTTGAAGGTGCAATTCTTAGCGGCTTGTCTGCAGCTTCAAAACTTATGGAGATCCTTAGTTGCTTATAGTTTGATAGTATCATTAATCATTTAACTAAAAAGGTTTACGCATCATATGGAATATCCGATAGGCAATAAGTTATATGAAACTGTACATACCTCTTATGTGATTTGGCATGGCAGAGAACTTCTTATTTGGAAATTATAATTGCCTGATATTTTATTAGCTTATGTTTTGTTCTTCATTTGAATTAATGCTGTAGAAAGTTTAAAAGAGTTTAAATTCTCCTTTTAGTATATTTAAGCATAAATTTTAGTGTTAAAAGAACATTAAAGTTACATATGTGTTTCTATGAGTTGTGATTTCACGTTATGATTTTCTCGAGCTATTCCATTGTTCTAATTGTTTTTATTTTGGGTTTGTGATATTTTTTTGAATCTTTTATCATTAACAGTTATATCTGGTCAGATCTATTCGTCGTTGACGGCCAAGATATCTAATTGTCAATGATCAGATCTTTAGTCGTATGGTCAGATTTATGGTGGATTTGGTTGAAAACGGACAAATTGACGTTTGATCGGTTAGATCCAATCGGTCATGCGTCATTATGACGGTGGTTGCTAGCGGATGATAGTGGCTTGGGTGGGTGAGAGTGTTTTTGATAATTTTATAACTTTTATTAAGAAAGATAATTATTAATGTTTTAAGTTGAGTAGGATAAAATTGGATTTTGGAAAATATTAGAATAAATGCATTTTTTAGTATTCGGATATGATAGTGGAATCGGATAGGAGAAAAAAGTGTGCCACACAGACCCGATAATCTTTTAAGTGGTGAGAAACAATAGCCTTTGTTTATAACTTTATATTAGTATAAATATGGAGACTTAAACTAGGGGCTTTGTGGGAGCAAATCACGGTTTAATTGTTCTACTAACCTTGTGGAAACAAATTGCTAACACCAACTCATTGGCTATATGGGTTGGGAAGATTAACCTATGAAATTTGCTCAACCGCTTTGGCATGGTCCACGTGGCATGGAGCCGATGTGGTGGTGGATTTCTATTAGCCAGAAACACAACTGGTTAAAAGAGATTGGATTCTGATAATGTTTGTGACAGCCATATCATATCCTGATACAAACCACATACACGACGCCACGTGTCAGCATGACAATCACTACCCTCCTTCCTCACTATTATTATCTAAATATTTTGTAACCAAACCAGGCACACTACTTGAAAGCAAGAAGAAAAAACACAAACAGAGCTCATATTCAAGCAGAACAATGGCAGCCTCAGTCATGGCTTCTTCATTGAACCTCAAACCAGTCCCTTTCACCGTTGAGAAATCAGCCGTACGAGGCCTCCCCTCTCTTGCCAGAACCACCCCTTTCAAAATTGTTGCCAGTGGGGGCAAAAAGATCAAGACTAATAAGCCCTATGGTACGTATAATCTTAACGTTGTCGAATCACATTAGTAATATTCAATCGACAATTAGTTTAATACTTTGCACGTTATGCGAGAAATTTTTTTTTTTTTTGAAATAATACTGATTTCTATATAATATTTAGATAAATGTTACTTCTAGGGAGTGTTGAAAGAGAATATTTTGTTTTATAAGTATTAATATATATGATGCATAAATATGTATATAATTTTAATTAATTTGTTCTTGTAATAAGAGAGTTGTGAAATTTGTATTAATAAATGAACAAGTTTATAAAATTTTAGAATTATTATATTTATTTTAAAAGAATATTTTGACGATTCATTTAAAACAATTTATTATAATAATTGTTTCGTAAGAAAACTGGTTAGTAACTTTTTTGAAAAAAGTTGACCCGGCCGGGCTGTAGTCCGATCAGCTTCCGCCGCTAATGTTTCTAGATACTAACATAAAAATATATTGTACTGTGTCGTTAAATGTTATAAGTTTTATATTCGAAAAATGATTTTGCAGGAGTAAACGGTGGCATGGACTTGAGAGATGGTGTTGATGCATCTGGGAGGAAGGCTAGGGTTGGTTTTAATTTTTATTTTTTGAATAAATTAGTATTAGTTATAACACCATAATTTAAGTTTTTTACTTAACATTTAACAATTCAACACAAAATAGTTTTTTTTTTTAATCAACTTAAAAATATTTCATATCCCTGAACCAGAATTTACATGTTTCACAAAAAAATTTAAATTATAATATGGCATTCAACAATAGCATAGAAATGGGTTCTATAATTTATTTATTTTTACTTGTATAGTTTGTTAGACTTTATTTTGTGGTATCGATAAAATATAGTACTTGAGAGAATAGAAATGACTCCATTTTTGAGAGCTGAATATTTTCATCAGAAGATTTGAATTTGAAAGGATCCTATATCTATACCATTCAATAGTATAGACAATCTATTAGTTTCGATAAATGATTGCATTTCAAGTTAGTTATTTATTTGAGTAATGCAGGGAAAGGGTGTTTACCAATTTGTTGACAAATATGGAGCTAATGTTGATGGGTACAGGTAAGAATATCATCTGGATTTTGTATTTTCTTTTTCACTCTTCTCAAATAAGCTGTATCAAACGAACCCTTAATGACAACTAAAATATCATTTCATGCATATAATTTCTTTTGTGATGGTTGATTTGCAGTCCAATCTACAACACCGATGACTGGTCTCCCAGCGGCGATGTTTACGTCGGTGGTAAGAAACAAACTCTTAGCTATAATCTTTATTACTTGTTGTAACTATTGTTAATTTTGATGGTATGAAGTGTAATTTATGTGTTGACAAAATGGCGATGCAGGCACTACTGGGTTGGCAATCTGGGCAGTTACTCTTTTTGGCCTTCTTGCAGGAGGAGCCCTTCTTGTGTACAACACAAGTGCTTTGGCACAGTAGACAACACAAGAAATATGTTTATGTGATGTGATGTAATATAACTTGTTCAAACAAAATTTCTACAACTCCTTTTGGTTGGTGTATCTACTTGTGTAATGTTTTGGTATGGATTTAATCTGAGACCAGTTAGTAATCTTTAATGTTGACTTTTTTAAATCTTTATATTTTTGTTGGGGTTGTGAGGGTAATTAATGGAAAGTTTGGGGGTTATATGTAATTGTGATCATTTTAGAAGAAAAACTTGGGATACTGTATTTAACACTTTATTTAAACATTTAAATCTTAACAGCAGAAAGATTTTCGTTATTTAAGAAAATTTTTGTTATTTAATCAAACCTCAGAAAAGGATTCATGTCATTAACTCAAAATGCAAATAGAAAATCTCATGTTATCTGTTAGTGAAACCAACCGGCTGCTTGGCAAAGAAGATTTCAGCTAAATAATAACATACATTGGGAAGGAGACAACTAAAAAAATTGTTTAATTTCATTCCATTCCCTCTCCTTTCACCTTCCTCTACATCATCAAACAGCAACAAAATAAAAGCGAATTGAATTTTCATGAGCATTAACTCGGTAAAGAGAGGTTTTGTTGTTTTCATCTCGCGGAATCGAGGGGTATGTACATCAAAGCACCAAATCTTGCTTACTACAAATATGATGCATCTGGAAAAAATCGTTCCATCTGTTTTCCGCCTGTGAATTCTGATAGTTATGAATAAATCCGATTTGTCTTGCTAAATATCTTCAAAAGTATTTTCGTCTTGATGAGGCTGTACTAAGCTCTTCAAATGAGACTTGCTAAATATCGTCAAAAGTATTTTCATCCTGATGAGGCTGTACTAAGCTCTTCAAATGAGACACACCTTGATGTACCATCCCATCAGCCATTGTAGATCGAACTATCTGCACATATAAACACGATAATGTATAATAACTTTTTCTTACACATACGCCATGTAATCCACATTACAAAGGGAAAACTTTAAGAAATTATGAAAAAAAGAAAAGAAAAACGAAAGCAAAAGTATAAAACTGAGGCAACACAACCTTCTCTATTTCATCGAGGAGAATAGGGTTCTCTCTCAGGTACTGTAATGCTTTGTCTCTCCCCTGTCCTAACCTGTTTCCAAATATAAACAAAGGAGGACATCATAAGCCATAATTGCTTCTGAAATTAGACAATATTCAAATGAATTTTTCAAGAAAAGTACAAGCTATTTCTGTTAGACAAATACATCGTTGCAACTGATACACAATAATTAGCGGGAATTTTTCCATTATATAAACTGAAAAGATGTCTCATATATGTCTGGAGGTAGAGTAGAAATGGAGAATAAAAACATTGAAGTCCAATGATATGCCGTCATTGGCAGAAATCATTTCCTCATTTTATTAATAAAATTTTCTTGTTTCACATATTGAAAAAAGGTAAACATATAATACACATAAGCCATGTTAACTGATCAATAAACGAACAATTCTATTGCTATACATTGTCATAATGCAACTTTAGAAAATCAATCGACGAATAAAATTGGAATTTAGAACATTGAAGATAAGGAGTAAAAATACAATAGAACGGAGTGAAATGCAAATAAAAGTAAACGGAAAACAGAAGTTCAGAGGCTAACCTATTGTCTCCGTAGCTATACCAAGCTCCCTTCCTTACCACAACATCCATCATTTCAGCACAATCCAAAACACATCCCTGCAAAATTCTCCTAAGTCAAAAGAAAGAGCACAGTTTGCACCCTTTGAAGTGATTTTTTTATATTGCAATACTAACCAGTTTACTCACTCCCTCTCCGAATATGATTTCAAACTCTGCTTGCTTGTATGGCCTTGATACCTATGACAACAAAAAATTAAGAACTTCTTCCGTGCATATATAGCATTAATCAGAAATACAAAATTTGGTATGTTAGACAAAAAATGTGCAAGTTTTTTATTTTTTCAAAACTAGCAGATCACACCTGCCACAAATATATTCCATACTCAAATTTCAAGCACCATAACAAAGCATACTGCAAATGAAATGATGCAAATAGGTCAGGAATCAGTACAAGTGTTGCATAAGAAATGGTTTTCAGCAAACTCAGTCTTTAGTAACCTAGGCCATTTTGCTTACATTGGTACACACTCAGGGTAAGTATGAATGAAAATAAAAAATGCAAAAAATGGTATTTTATCATGTCAATATCAGCAATAGTTTCTTACGAGTATATATGGTAGAAAAGATATTGTCTCTTGAAAATTATGGAAATTTATGTCGGTCCTTTAAATCAGAATGCTAATATTCAGACATAATGATAGCATCAGTCTTACCTTACTCTTTTGCACTCTTACACGAACTCGAAGTCCAATATCCTCATCTCCTTTAACCTGCAACAATGTGAGATATTGTAATGAGAAATATAGAGACTGAATTTAATGAAATTAAGAAACTTGCATAAATATTAAACAATCAAGCAGCTATCGCGCTCACAGATTTTATCTTCCCTGTAGAACGTATTTCTAGACGAACTGAGGCGAAAAACTTTAGTGCTATTCCTCCACTAGTGACTTCTGGATTCCCATAATATACACCAATCTTGCAAAATGTAGATAAGAAAAGCAATAAGTAACTACAAGAAGATATTTTCCAATAGGATATAAAGCAGATAGATGCAGAAAATTTAGAGACAAACAAAGAGAAAAGTAATATAAAAGACAAAAAAGATTAAATGCCCAGGGCTTTTCTTCTTAGGAAATTTGAGAATTACCGGCTAGTTTGTTTGGACCTTGGTCTTTTAATTTAATAGTTCTGTTAACTACTGATCTCAGGGAGATTTTAATATTTTTATACTTCAGGAAATTGGCTGAAACTGTATTCTATAAATCTTACTTGATTATCTATTGTGTTATTCAATCTTGAATCTGGTCTTTAGGTGATTCTTGCTACATACTATCGGTCACAGTCCCTAAATGCAATGCCATTAGGATTATTTAACAGAACTTTACATATTATCTTTATATGCATAAATATTATTCAGAATTGATTAACTGCATTCAATGAGTTTCAATGGTGAAACTGAAGTTAAGCTCATATGCAAGAAGCAAAAACTAGTATTTAAGCTCTAACACTCTAATCTATCAAAATCACAAAGAAAGAATTCTATCCAAGCTGTCCTACATCAAATATAAATTATTAGTACCTTATATCTGATCTGATTGAGAAAAATGAGAGTACAACCAGCTTTAGAGGCATTTCCTGACATTTTACGTAGAGCCTGGCTCATGAGGCGAGCTTGCAATCCCATTTGCTGCATCCCGATCTCACCCTATGTAACAAAAGCATTCAAATGAGGGAAGATCCCACTATCTAAGTAGCAAAACAACTGTTAGTTTTTTTTTTTTTGGGGGGGGGGGGGGGGGGGGGGGGGGGGGGGGGTGGTTGAGGAGGAGAGTTATAACATACTTCAATCTCTGCTCTTGGAGTAAGAGCTGATACAGAATCAACACAAATAAGGTCAACGGCACCAGATCTGCACATACGATCTGCAACTGCAAAATGAAAACTGACTTAGTTCATACACTTTATGTTTATGAGTTTTGGATAGTAACAAATCTATTAGGCACCATATATTGTAGCAGTGAATATTGCATAATGATTACATAAATCCTGAATTTCTCAGATACAAAACCTCATGGAGTAAGATATATTACTTTCTAGAGCCATCTCTCCATTATCAGGTTGGCAAACAATCAAATTTTCTACATCCACACCCAATGCTTTCGAATACGCAGGATCAAAAGCATGCTCTGCATCCACAAGCATTGCATTGCCTCCAAGCTTCTGCATAATTACCATAAAAAAACTGCATGTTGGCCTCTAGACACATACAACAATGTAAGGACTTTCAAGCCATACATAGAATTTAAAATTACAGAAGAAGAGCAGAAAAATAAAAACCTGCACTTCTGCAATTGCATGGAGTGCAAGAGTTGTCTTTCCACTACTTTCTGGTCCAAATATCTGCAAAGAAAGATTGCAATTGGTACCAAGCTATCTCTAATAGAATTTAACTGAAAGAAGAATAAGCTTATGATGACCTAGTAATTTTTCAGAGTACACAAATCAACATAGGTACTATACCATTCACTAATGCCAGAAGTTTGACTTAATGAGCAGGAGACATCAATAGGAGCAGAATAATACAGAGCCAGGCAACCACAGGATGACACTTGAGAATTATGCCAAAATGCACTTGGCTTGATAAAATTACAAATATATAGCAAAATAAAAAAAACTAACTGATATGCCAACTATTTTTGAAACGATCATTACTTAGTTAATTCAACGAGGATGAATCAGTCAGCATAGGTGGAAAAGTTGTCATTGCTTACATACCCCTCAACACCATGTTCAAAAGCATGTCCATGAAAATGCTACTTAAGTATCATAAGAACGTCTCATGCACCACATAGAAGAAAAGTGCTTCTTTGTGTGGCGAAATATTTAAAACAACAAATCAAAGGGCAATGAAGCACACGTAAAGAAGTACAAAAAGATTATACCTCTACAATTCTTCCTTTAGGAAGTCCACCACCTAAGGCCAAATCTAGTGTTAAACAGCCGCTGGGAAATGTTTCACTGCATAGGATAAAAAGAAGGTACTAAACAAGTCAGGCTTGTCATAAGTCGTAAGAGTGATGCCAGGCAATATCTCCAGGTCGTACTGGGTTAACTAATGACAATCAGGAAATATGATATTCATTGTTCATTTTTGCTTTCCTACTTCCACACCGGACATTTAACACATTGAACAGGGAATAATGCAAAAAAGAGAATTGGGGAGAAAAGGTAGCATATAACTTTTATGGGAGAAAACATACACAAGAGCTCCACCAGCACTACCCAATCTTGTAACACTTCCTTTTCCAAATGAGCTATTTATGTCATTCATTGCCGCATCCAGTGCTTTTTGCTGGAACAGATATAATAGTGTCAGATTCGATAAACTTATAACTTTGTCAAAAAGCATTTCATTGAAATCCAACAGAAGAAGAGACATAATTGAACTCCCTATGCTATAGAGATGGCATCAGAAATGAATTGCAGAACAACAAACTACGATCAGTATGCATATGATCAAATATAAACCAAAGAGTGATGCCATGAGCTTCTGAACTGAGATAGCCTTTTACATAATTTGTGACCTAACCTCCCTGCCAATGGTAGCTTTTGATGAGGTATTCCAAGTAATCATATAACATCAAATTGTCAGAGAAAAGGAAACAAGAGTCTCCTAAATGATTATAACCAACAAAACCACCAATGTATCGTCAACAGCTCATGTTTAGAATTTAAGCTCTGCTAAGTAACTGCCACGCATAAGCATTGCATGTAATTGCAACCCAAGAAAAACCAACATCAACGGAAACTCGACTTTGCTAAGGGTTCATTGATTTCTAGATAATAACATTACAGTTTATATTCATAATAATCTTCTTAATAAATAGTCAATCCATATAATAATTGTAGTCACATTTTGAAAACTCAAGCATGTCCATAGCCAACTCAATAAGCTTCACCTACAATTTCACTACATCTCCCCAATTGTATTCAAAATTTCTATTAGCTCTAAAATTAATTTACACGTTTCTAAATTTCAACTAAAGTAGTTCAATTATAGCTGAAAAAAAATCATAAAAAAATACCCATTAAACAATTTTTAATTTTTAAACTAAACCCAAAACCCCAGAGAGAATTAGAAGTTACCCTGTCAAGGAAGCGAGAGTCTAAGTCAGAAGATAAAGCGCCGTTAACTTTGCCGTCAAACTCACAATGAATCGTTTTAACTCGTTTCTTTGCAGCTGCCAACTTAGACGACGTGAAAAAGCGTGAACGTGAAGACTGGCATTGAAGAGGGCATGAAGTAATCGAAAACAGAGATAGTGAACAGTGACGGTGAAGTTTTACGTTGAGAGGGGAGTGTAAAGACTCCATAATAATCAATGAACTAATGGGTTGCAGAATTCGGATATAGCAACAAGTGAAGAAGAAGAAGAGCCTCGGTTGGGCCGCGGGTTTCTTTGTAATTAGGTTGGGCCGGGCTAAAATGGGCCCATTAGGCCTATTGGGCTTTGGGGTTGCTTCAAGTCAACCCGATTAAAAAAATGTAAGGCCCTTCTTGATTATGAGGTTCAATTTATTCTTTTGTTCTTATCTTAGGGAGTTTTCTATGATATATTTCAGTATCGATACCATAAAAGTGATATTCTGATCACACGCGTTTATAATTTGGTAAAGATTATAGGGCTTCGATGATCCAATTATACGAGAACCGCGGATAGAGAGTTGTTCCCCACTTTTTATCCCGACTGTGTGGTTTTAAGAATGATCTAGTTTTACGAGAATTGGGAATTAAGAGTTTTCCCCCATTTTTAGTCCTTAGTCTTTGGTACTTTTGATGCGATAATTTGTACCAGCGAGAGATGTCCAACCGGCCTGGGAAGGGACTAGGTAAGATGTGCACGTGATTATTCATAACCAGCAAGGTCACTAAAATGACGTAATAAAGTAAAGAACAAAAGAGATCTTATAGTGGTTTGACGGTATAGAAGCCAAACATATATCCACGGTCATGTTATTATTGTGGGGGTGTTGGTCGAATGAGGTTACAAAGGGAAGATTGCGAGATAAATGGGGGACACTCGGCTCTCGTAACCTATTCTCTCTAAACTCTCTCTAAAAAGATCAATGTATTTTTCATTTGGACTTTACTGATGCTAGAATCCTTTGGAACGGAGGCTATTGGCTGTTTTTATACTGGCTCGTTTGACAGTGGTTGAAAGTGGGTGTTACGAAGTTGCTTGGATGCATAACCCCCTTAATTAGGATCTAAGTCAATAATCCTCATACTTGTGACAGGTTGGGTTATGCTAATGGTAGCTTAACCCATGCTTTTGACAATAATCATCTTGAGAGAAGATAAACGCTAATGAGACGACATGTGAGAAGATATAGGCCATCAGCCTTTGATACACCTTAGAGACGTGTGGCACAGATCTGACCACCAATGAATTAGGCACAAAAGGTACTAAGAATGATTTAGTTATAGGAGAATCAGGAATGAAGAGTTTTTCCTCTACTTTTTGTTTCCATTCTTCGGTTTCAAGGATGATCAAACTATAGGAGAGCGGGAATATAGAGTTTTCCCCATTTTTTGCCCTGATTTTTTAGTCTTAAGAGTGATCAAACTAAAGAGTTTTCCTTCATATTTCCTTACTCATTGATTTTTCCTCATTTTCCTTAACTGATGGTTTTTAACTGTTACCATGATTGGGTTTAGAAAGGGTTAATGAATTAATCCCAATAACAAAATTCCTCTCGAGATTTTGAAAATAATAGAAATTTATTTGTCTTAAGTTTAAAATGTTAAAATAAATTGTATAAGAGTAATTTAATATTATTTACCAACTTATAATAGAGTAAATTTTAATGGTTCACTAACAATTCATTAGCCGTAAATGAATTTTTGTTATTTTAAAAACCTCTTATATAACTCTTTTTATTATATCATATCCTTTTGTTACTAAAATGATATTCACAAAAGAGAATAACTATAAATTTAACAATATAACTCATATAACATGAATGATATTCACAAAAGAGAAAATATTTTAATTTTTATCTTTTCCATTCTCTCAATTAATTTTTAACACCAAAACTTGATGGTAGGAGGTGTAAGTGGCTCATTAAAAAAGCAAGTTGTCAATTTTTTATGTTGAAGGGGTTGTACTAAAATAACCCTAACGGAACCGTAACCAAAGTTAAAGAGTAGGGTGTGTGTTAAACTAATAAATTTTTCTATATGCCTGTGAAATATTGAAACGTGGAGAGGTCTATGTAATTAACTCTATATATTATTTGATAAAGTTTTGACTCTTATCATATTAAGTTACCAATTAACTAAATATATACAAACGTTACACTTTATTTATTAGCTATTGCGTACCTCAAATAATTCTCTCAGATCTTGGAACTACCGACTTGATAAAAGCTTTAATGGCTATCCCTGTTAGGGACTGAGAAGAGATTCGAACTCAAGACCTTTTGAGTAATATATCTAAAAGTTCTGATCGAACCACTCGTTCACTTTTTATTACTCTTATTTTAAATATATATTATAAAGAAATTTAACTAGTAGCCATACAAGTATGAGTGCATGTGCCGTAATAGTAATTGGCAAAGACGAGTGCTTTACTCCTGGCAAAAAATATTCAAGAAGGAACAATTAAACAATTGTGGGACAGCAATTTTTTTTTCTTTATTCACATTTGATTCTAAATCTACATTTATTTTTTATAACGATTTAAAAATACCAAATTGAAGACCTATTGTGCCAGAGCATTCATTGTCATGTTAATTAAATACAAAATAAATAACAAGTTGAGATTTAGTTTCACTTCCTGGAATGGAATTCTATAAACCATAAGAGACAACCAAATAAAACAATCAATATTGACTTACATATTATTGTATAAGCTCAGGGTCTATGAAATCTAAGTAGTGAGATCATCTGGATTTCTCTTTTGTTTGTCTTTTCCTGGTAGTTGTTTAGAGGAAAGTGACACTCATAAAAATAATTTTTTAAAATTAAAATCGAATTTTTCTGGCTTAGTTGTTAGGCATTTTATTTGTTTGTTTAATAATACATAATTAATGAATAATTATTAAAACTTTTTGACTAAGAGAGATTAAGTTTCAATAGAGTAATCTTAGCTCTTCTTCTGCCATCTTTGATTTATCAGAATTTGTCAAGGAAAACTATCAATAACCTCTCAAGTTTAAGAGAAAAACATCGTGTCCCTGTACATATAAAAAACATCATAATCCATTGACCTCCCTCGAGGTTTTACAAAATTATCATAAAACCCTTATCCTTTTATTAACCAAAAAAAAAAAAAAAAAAAAAAATCCGATAAATGCATAGGATAAATAAGTATATTAATCTGTTGTTTTGAAATTAAAATGAAAAAATGACGAGTGGAAAAGGCTAACAAATTTTGCTTGTAGCAATACAAAGTTTTGTCCCTATCGATAATGCAAATAGAAGTATAAATTTTAGTCTAAAATTAAGTAACAAAGGAAAAATTCGATATATATATTACTATATATTCCTTTACAAGTTTTAATAATGGAGATGGAGATACATGCATGCTCCATGTTCTACAATATTTCATAGCCTAAATACATATCATTAACTAATAATGACTATTATTCCACATGTCGGGCATACCCACTTCAGATAACAAGCTTTCAGAGCTTGGAGGTGATCCTTTCATATTATTAGGAATAATATTATCATTATTGCTTTCAACTTTGGTAAGCTGGTTCAAAACAGCTTTAATTACCTTGTTATCGTCACAGGAATGGAAAGATTCTAATCCTGGAAATATTTGGCCAAATTGGGAATTAGAAACAATGTCAGTATTCTTTGGTTCAAAATGATGAGAGAAAATGGGGTTGGTCATTTGGTTTGGGGAGAAAATGGAGAAGCAGGACACTTGCTGATGAAGCTCATTTAGATTATTATTTGCTTGAGTTTGGTCAAAAGTGATGTAAGAATCCATTAATGGTGGGAGAGATGAAGAGCCTGTGTCTTCATAACTGCAGCTTGTTCTTGTTCCCATGCTTAGTTGGGCAGCAACTTGATCTCTATTTTTGTAGAACACTCGACACAACACCCAATCTTCCTGCTTGTACAAGTTAAGAATGATATCAAAATTTTCCTTTATTCATAGTTTTCTAAATGGATTGGAGAAGGAATTTTGTTATAAGTTGTAGAATTAAGAGATTTACGAATGAAAAACACTTATTTTTGTGTATCTTATTGCAGTACAATCTGTCAATAAAAAAATATGTTTTACTTATATTGATTTAACATACTTTCATTGACTGGTTGTATTATAACATGATACAAAAATGACTTTCTCTTATACAAGAAATTAATATATAAAAAATGATATCAAATTTTCCTTTATGGATAGTCTTTTGAATGGACAAAACTAGGAATTTAGTCGTAAATTGTAAAATTAGGAGATTTACATACCAAAAAAAATACTTATGTACATGCTTTACAACCAATCATGAGAAAACAAGAGTATAGTAGTCTCCTTTATATGACATACTCTCATTTGTTGGTTATATTATAACAAGATATTTAGAAGACTTTCTCTTTACCTAAATATTTTAATAATGAAATTCAATTAGGTTTATAGACCCCTCCCCCAAAAAAAAAAAAAAAGAAAAAATAAAAGAGAGAGAGAGAGAGAGAGAAACTACCACATATATTTTAGTAATATGTAACAAGCTCCATGATTCATGCTATAACTTCAGGAATTCAATATTAATCTGAGTAAAGAATTAAATAGAAAGTATATACCTTGAGAGAAGAAACTTTAGGAGGACCAGAAGGTCCTTCCATTCTGAACTCATGCATAACCCAATCAGTTTTTCTTCCTTTCGGAGCTCTCCCTTGGTAAAAAACCAAAGTTTTTCTCATCCCAACAAGAGTGCCTTTTTGCTTAATCTCTCTATCTTTCCCTGTGGCTTTCCAGTACCCAGATGCTGTGGCTCGATTTGTTCTTAGTCCTGTTGCATATTTTCGATCTCGCCGGCTGTAAAAATACCATTCCTTTCCTCCAACACATGCAGTCTCTGCAAAATATGTTTCCACAAAGTTAGGAAAAAAAAAAAAAAGGAAAATGGCTGAGGAGAAACAAACAATCAGGGTAGAATCTAGGCTTTAAAATCTAAGAAAATATCAAAGTGAGGGGTATTCTGATTTTTAAACAGAAAAATCATATCAATTAACAGATTACATAAACATTTGTTCAATTCATCGAGAGTAAATCTTAATATTTTAAAAGCATGACCTAGTCCGTAGTTGAATAAAATCTCAAGGTATATAAAGTTTTCTCTCAATTCTTAAATTTATACATCACAGAGTAGAAGTGCAAAGTAGAAATGAGTTTTCAACTTGAGTTGGCCAAAAATACATAAACTTTTTTACGGATGAATGAAAAAGTTGCATAATTTTCTCTACTCTAATAAAAACCTTTATGTCTTATCAGGGTTAAGTTAATAAAGACGAATGATTGACAAGAAGAGTTGAAAATTTAAGTTATAATAACTTAATTATTAATTAGGGTTCTTACCAAACATGTTATTGGTTGATTTGGAATTCCAAAGAAGAAAAATAGGATTCGAGAATGGTACCAAACGTGATTTATATAATTAAATCCTAGGTCAATGACACCCTAGAGATTTGAATTTTTGATATTTTCGTTGAAAACAAAGAGCCATATATGAATATCTTGTGTGGATAGATAGATAGAATATCAACCACAATAATTGAAAAAATAATTAGTTTGAAAAACCAAGAAAAAAACAAAAAGGATTTGATCAAACAGTTGATAAATTGACAAGGGTTATTGGATTTGGTAGAAAAGAATTAATAAAAGTCCAAATCCAAATCCAAATTCAAATCCAAATCCAAATTCCTTTTCAAGGGGATAGCCAAACGTGTGGTGGCGGCAATAAGAGAGATAATATTATGACTTTGAATGTTGCATTATTAATTCTCTATCGATTCACAACTATTGGTTAGGACAATGCCAAGACTGTCAATTTCTTATAAAGCTATGAGAGTGAAATTTATAATTAATTAATTAATTAATTTAAATATTAAAAAAAAAATCATCTTTAAGATATTCTTGGAGCTTGCATATCCGGTTTAAACACTCCATACTTGATTCCATATCGTGTAAAAATAATAAATAATAAGAGTTTTGATGTATTTATAACTTTTTAATTTATGTAACGTACGTAATTCATATAAATCATCACGTATAGTTTATATTTAAAAAATAATAATCACATAAGGAGGAGAGTAATATTTTCATAGCTCATAGAGAAGACCGTGATGGGTTTATTTTATGAATTTAACAAATCTTTTTCAACCAAATCATATCGGCTTTTTTCCAGTAAAAAAAAAAAAAAAAGGAAAAGAAATTCAGGATTTGATAGAATAACTAGAGCAGAAGGTTTAGAAGTATAAAACGACATCCCAAAAGGAAAGTAATTAATGTAAATCCATTAATTAACATTAATTACTAATAAGCTGTTCATTATTGCATGAAAAAGAAAATGAAAATAAAAATAAAAATAGGCATATGAATAAAATGATAATCGTGGTCATTGGGGGTTCACAGCATTAACTTGTCAATTATTTCTGACATGAGAATTGAATTGACAACCATTCATCTTCATCAGTATTGATTAGAACGCACATGATAATTAATCTCTACCGTTCAATTCATACGTTACCAAAATTATAAAAATTATTCAGATTATGTCTTTTCATGCATAATAATCAAACGAATAAGCTTTCAGCTATTTTCTTTAGCCGCAAATATATACTCCCACGTCACAATGATTATTTATTTGAGTAATGAATGTGTTCTTCCATTCATTTTATGACACATCCGTTCACACACAAGATTTATTTCTACACCTAGTATTATTATATTTATTTATATCCATTTATAGCCAATCTGGTTGCTATCACCTCACCCTCCTCTACAGAAAATAATATAACTGAGCTTATTTCATAACAAGTTAACAACAAAATGTTTTAATATTAACATACTGAGATTTTTATCTCAGTAACATTACTACCAACTCTCCTACTCATCAATATCTTTGCATGCAGGGAAAAACGAAATCAGAGAGAGAATTTATTCATTCCAAAGAAAGTAGTAAATAAAAAAAAGAAAAGAAAACCTAAACAGAATAAATAAAGAAGATGAAGATGAAAATCATAGTGAAGAATTTGACTTAATTACCAGGAATATGCCAGGGCTCACACTTGTTGAGGTCAACTTCAATCAAGGGAAGAATGTCACAGTGATTCATCTTCTTCATCAAGTAATCACAAACCAGTTCTTCATCTCTCGGATGAAACCGAAACCCCGGTGGCAACTTCGCCTCCACCATGCTTATGTTGCTCATCTTGATGATTAATGAAGAAGAAAAAACTCAGATAATTGTTATTTGTTCAAGCTTTATTCTTCTGGAAAAAAAAAAAAAACAAACAAAAATAAGAGAAATTACTGAAGAAGAAGAAAACTAAAACTTCGCGAAGACAGATCTAATCATCTAAATGAAGAAGGAGGAGGGGGGGCAAGTGGGGGGGAGTATAAATAGAGGAAAGTCAACTGGTGAATTCCGTAAAAGGAGGGATGGTGGGTGGGTTTGAATGTGATTTGATTTGATGATGACGTGGACTGACCAATTACTGCCCAATGTGCGGACGTGTACTTTTGGTCATTACTTTTTTCTGTTCTTCAAAGACTTTGAGATAGAATTGGGTCCAGAAAATGCCAAATCATGACATAAGATGGGCCCCACTTTCATGATCATGACATATTCATCGCTTTTTGTCCTTTTCTAGTCGGCCTCTTGTTTTTCTTAGAGACCTTTTGTTCTATTCTTCCTTCAAGTTTGGGATTTCAATACTGAAATTACTATTTACACCTAAATATTATATTAGTATTAATGCTATTGAATTATCAATAGTTGAATTATTTTTTCATTTTTATACAACAAACTAAATTGAATTAAATTACATATTTAAAAATGAATAAAATAAGGGAAAGGGAAATATAAAAGATAAGGGATACTAAGGTCTTTTTGAAACAAAGTTTCAATTTCTTTTTTGTTCTATTTTCTCAAATTTTATATAGTTAAAATAAAAATTGAAAAGAATATATACTTAGCGAAAGGGCGTTATAATCTTTATAGTAAAGTAATCAATTATTTGGATGCATTTGTTATTATCTGAAACTTTTGGGTATGCTATTAGTTTCCTCGAACTTGGAGGACGAAATGTTGTAAATGAAATGCGGATGAGGTAAGACTTCAGAACTAGGTTTTATATCTGGTTAGATTATCAAATTTTTTTGGGAGAATATCATAGACTACCCTTAAGGTTCTCAAATTCATCATTTGATGATAACGTTTGCACTATTTATCAAGACTACCCTCAAAGTTTGAAAATGTATTATAGATACCCCTTTGTCTTAACTTTGCCTTGTTGTTTGTGGTGGATAAGTGAAATGATAACTTTGGTCTTATAAGAAAATGTTGGGTAAAATGGTAATTTTAGTCATATAAGAAAGTGTTTTGCAAACTTAAGGACAACGTAGCGAGGTGACCACAAAGGAGTATTTGTGATAAAATTTTCAAACTTCATTTGTACCTCACTTCTTATTTAAAAAAAAAAAAAAAAGAAATTCATTTCATCAATAGTTACGAGAAAGGATTTTCCATTTTTATTCATTATAAAAACATAATTATTAATGTCTATTGGTAAAACAACTATAGTATATATACATATTTTGTTTATATATTTTTAAATTAGCTAAGCTGTTAAGATATTACTATTTTTTTAATTTTGGCGGGTTTATATCCAAAATAAGATTTGATAATGTTATATTAAATAAAATGTAAAATATTAATATAATTATGGGTCAACTTAAAAGAATATTTTCTATCCTACAAACCATTGAAGTTGCTGAAGGTCAGTGTCGGTGAGTCAATTAAGCCTTCTTTCTTGAGAAAATATGGTTGATATTTGTATATTGATAAATTCATGTAACTTTAATGTTAAAAAAAGGTACCAATCCAGGCGACAGTTCAATTGTTATGATATGGATATAAATTAAATTGGACAAATAACAATTGATTTATTAACTCAATTATGACACAAAATGAATAAAGGTTTGGCCAAACCTGAATAAACTATTTGAGGTATGGGTAATAACTTAAAACTCAATTCAACTATAGTTATTAACTGCAACAAGAAAATGCTAACAGGAGAGGATCTCCCTTTTTACCCATACCCATACCTCAAAGATTTATGGATTTGGCCCACTTAGAATATAAAATTAGCACTTAGGCTGCCTATGGTTAGGGCCCTAAAAAGATTACTAATGTATTCTATCTTTTAATCTGGTTATTACCTTATTTCGTTCAATAGGTAATAAAAAATTCTAGTAATATTTTATTACTCAAGTAATATAAGAGGTGATATATGGAGTTAAGTGATTACCAATTCAAATGGTGGTATTTTAAGATTACTGTAGTAATCTTATTTTTACGCGAAGTTTACCCTTACTAATAAAAATTTCGAACACAAAGGTCCTCCTATTGATGTCAAATAACAATTAATCCAACTTGTTGAATGACTTCTTTAACCTCATTAATTAATTATTTGGACAAAAATACCATGTAGTCATTGGCTTTATAATTTTTTTTTTTTTTTTTTTTAAGGCTAATCCCCACTACAACAGCTACGTCACGTGACTATCCTTCGTCGGATTTCAGTCGAATGCAGCAATGACAATCCCTACCACCACTACCTGCTGACTCACCAGAACCTCCTCTTTAAAAGCCCCATGCTCCCCCACCCCAATTGACCACCATTCCTCTCCGGCGCACACCTAAGGTTCTTTGTGGGTTTTTTTGATTTGATTGATGAAATTGAAGTTTAGGTTTTGATTGGTTGATATTGTAGAGTGTTTTTGTGTTTGATTTTGGCTGGAAATCCCAGCCAACCTTCACTGAGTTTTCCTCCTTTGTGCCTGCCCACCAACTATTTGGTGTTTTGCCTAAATGAAACCGCGCAGCTCGGCCAACACACTAATCTTGTAAAGGGCATTTTAGTAAAATAATATCTAAGTATTTTGTAATTATTGCCAATCAAACACATTAATTATTTATACAACCCACACGAACCAAACACAATATATAATTTATACCCATTAATCTCCAAGGTTATTTATCTCACTGGTAATCATATCTTTTTGGTAAAAAAATATTGTCGGAACCAAACACAATCGTAAAGTGATCAATTATGGTTTAGTCAAAAGGTCAAGCTTATGGGTCACTCCCATCAGATCAAGGGTTTAAATCCTTTTACAACCACTTATATGATTAAAGATTATTATTATCGTTGTTTTCCACTTCTAAAATTATTGGATTATTGATAATTAGTTGTAATCAGTTGATAATTGTTGTAATTAGTTGTTAAGTAGTTGTTACTGTTATGGTTAGTTAGAATATACTGAACTATGGTTGACTTAACCATGGTTACTAAGAATTGTATATAACAAGTGTAATAAGCTTTTGTACTTAAGACTTGAGTTGAATAATACAAGACACATATTTTACTCTCTCTTTACTCTCTTTGAGATGAAATTGAACATGGTATCAGAGCAGCGTTTTAAGCTGCGAAATTGACGACTTCAATCGAAGAATTGAGCTGAAATTTGAAGTTGTGTTTGCATCATCTTTCAAGATTAATCGATCTTCATCACTAATTTCGTCCTTGATTGAGCTGATTTCTTCACTAAATCGAGCTAATTTCTTCCTTGATCGAGCTGATTTCTTCACACATTCTGAAATCAATTGATTCCTAATAGCCATATGTCAGAATGTTATAGATTCAAGTTCACCTCTCTACATTCATTCGTCAGACACCCCTAGTCCAGTTCTAGTTTCAGAACAACTCACCAAAACAGAAAACTATGGGATATGGAGTCGTGCTAAGACAATTTCTTTAAGGGCAAAGAACAAATTAGGGTTTGTTAATGGTTCTTGAGAGAAGTCAAAGTACAATCAATCTTTGTATGAATAGTGGGAACGCTGTAACTCTTTAGTTTTGGCGTGGATTTTCAACATTGTTTCGAAGGAAATATTCAACAACATTGTGTATTCAAACAATGTACATCAAGTTTGGCAAGATCTTCAAGAATAGTATCACAAGATCAATAGAACAAGACTTTTTGGGATTCACAGGGAGATAGCTAATTTGGTGCAAGGAACAAGTTCGATTGCTGTTTATTACAATAAATTGAAAACTTTGTGGGATGAACTGAGTTCGTTGGTGAGTTTGCTACCACCAGATAGTGACTCAGCCAAGGGTTATTTGGCTCATCTCAACCAACAGAAGCTATTACAGTTCTTAATGGGACTTAATGAATCATATGCTTTGGTGAGAAGTCAGATCTTGTTAATGGTTCCTCTGCCCTCAGTCAAGCAAGCCTATTCCATAGTGAGTCAAAATGAGAGTCAGGAGGTCTTGATTGGATCTAATCAAAATACTGAGGTTACTACAACACTGTACTCACAAGGAAATCAAAGGAATCAGAATCAAAATTTGAAGTATAAGGGAAAAAGACCCTACATAGAATGTGACTATTGTCATATTGCAGGGCATAAGAGGGATACTTGGTACAAACTACATGGTTATCCAACAGATTTCTAGTTCACTAAAGGAAAGTCAAGGATGAAGGTCAAAGCTAATCAAGCTCATTCAAGTCAGGAACAAATGTTGAACATTGAATCTGCATCTGACAACATCAAAGGAGGAGTCAATCTCGGCAATGTTTTAACACCAAAGCAGTATGCTTAATTGCTTCAATTGCTGGGTAAGGAGAATATGGGAGCACCATCTACAAATTTGGCAAGTAAAATCGTTTCTCTATACTCAAATTATAATATTGCAAATGATTGGATTTTAGATTCAGGGGCTACTGACCATATGACCTATAATTTTTAAAAAAATTTAGCAAGCCAGCTATGTAGGTCTCCCAAATGGAACAAAAACCTCAATTGAATATGTTGGTTTTGTCAAATTGCAAGAAAATTTGTCACTTGAAAAGGTTTTATATTTACCCGATTTTAAGTATAACTTGATGTCAATATCCAAACTGACTTCTACTGGTCACTACTCCATCACATTTTATTCAGTTTTTTGTGTTATCCAAGATCTTTGGAGTGGCAAACTGAAGGGGATTGGTAAGCAATGTTAGGGACTGTACCATTTCATACCTATTTCAAAATTAGAACAATGTTTTCCAACTTTAGGAATAAAAGAGTCAGTTTGTAATAAAGGGTCAGTTCGTGATCCTCAAAATGATCTTTTGATTCATCAATAAAAGGACCTTGTTTGCCTTCAGTTATGTCTACACATTTGCATAATAAAGATACTGAATTATGGCACATGAGATTAGGGCATGCACCTTTTCCAGTCCTTCAAAAATTACATCATGGTCTTCCTGAACAAAACAATTTTCATTGTGATATTTGTCCTTTAGCTAAGCAAACAA